GTAAAGCTTGTCGACTTCGAATGCCCCCAGGGAAATGCTAGCCGGGAGTCGATGAAAAAGGAGTTGGAGAGTGTACGTGTAGAGCTGATGGAGGAGTCAGGACGTGGTGGAGGTTTCATGTTCCCAGATAAGAACAATTGAAAATGAGGCAGAAGATGCTGGTATGTGGTTCCTCCATATACTCATCTTCATGTCTTCCTGTTGCCCAATCAACATATACAAACTCGCTTCGTGGGCGCGGAGCACCATAGTGCCGCTTTCGATTGTCTCACATCATCGCTCGATCTACAGTTTTCCCAATGGCCCTGAGTTTGAGAGTATCTGGCTCGATGAGCTGTGGCTGGTATCTGAAAGCCAAATGGCTCCTTACCAACAGCACATGAGTAGTGGATGGGCATAGTTGTTGGCAGCGGTCTTTCTAATTATTGACTGCATTCTGCACTGTTTGATTGGACTCAGGTCCTTTCCAACCAAGGAGTTATAAGCGTCGCAGCTGTATCACCAAGATCTCGAGCACCAGGAAGACTTGGAAGACTGGGTTTGCCATGCATCTTGGTTCGCTGGCCATGATACTCGAGGGCTTCGGTCTCACGAACCCTCCGGTAGTCAAAAGACTAGAAGGCGTAGAGAGATTTGCATACGAGGACCGCCATGGCTGCCGCATGCAAGTCTGCGCACCTGGGGGCTACAGCTTTGGGTATCTCAATAGTTGGTGCCCTGACGTTGACAACACCACGCCCACCATTATTGCTTTCCTCAAACATGTATCCTACCTGAATTGCCACTCTATCACTCACGCTATAATCTGGATCCTGGGCGTGCAAAACAGAGGCGGCCGATGGGGGGCGGTCGATATTGACAACAACGCACTCTCCTTGAACAAGATCCGTTGAGCGATATGAGTTGTTTGTGCAATTAGTCCTCGGCCGATGTGACAGAACGCGTGGATGAAGCCTTTGGTCTGCTATCGCAGAGCCCTGTGAGTCAACGTATTAGGTCTGAGCTCCTATCCCGGTTTTTCACTGAGTTTCTCGGGGCGTGTTACGGCCGGTGGTGATGCAAGTACACCTACAGTACGAGCAATGTGCTATGTGGTCTGGCTTATTTCACCATATCCAACAGCAGCATCCCTGCCTCGACCTCCGTCGCAGTGCGATGATTGGTGTCGGTCCAGAGTCCAGACGGTGGCAGGAGTCAGAACCTAGAGACCCATCGATCAAGCAGTCGGAACGGATCCGAATATCCTTTTACAGCTTTGCAGACGGCGTGCGCTGCAATAGATTTGCTGTCATATCAGGGGCTGACTGCTGATTCTGTCAACACGTTCGTCTTTACCGTATCCAGACCCAGTCGAAGCAGGAGAGCAGGATATTCTGAGCTCTGGGAGTTTTCAAGACTGATATGACCATCGGGTTTCAAATGGACTGAGGCCTCTTTTGCGGTGGCCTAGAGTGTGCACTCGTCCTGTTGCCTTGTGAAGATCTTGGATCGAACATTATTCTGTGGCCTGAACTCGAGACTGGCATCGACTATAATTTGGAGGCCTGGACAACAGGGAGTAGAGTCATATAAGATACACAACGATTCTAGTTTATTCACTGCTGTCCTGCCAGACAACCTGTCGTATCATCGCCAAGAGATCAGATATTCACATTGACCTTCTCCCCTCACTCGTATCTTTTCACAACATACTCATGCAATACATAGCATCGCGCCCTCGAAACCCAAAGCGTTCTCTGTTCGGATCACACGACCAACCACACTTCAACCTTCACCATGCAAATTCCCATGGAGATCTATGATCAAGTAGGTCCTCTTATGCTTGGGATATGTATCCCAAGACTAACTTGCCCATAGATTGTGTTCTTCGTGGCGAACCAGAACAGTGGCCGACTCTCACATCAACAAGCGAATCGTCATTATTCTGTCCCAACATCTGGTGCAGCCAGGCAAGAGCTCGCCACTCTGTGTCTTGTCAATCAGAACTTCTGCCGCAGCGCTTCATTCGCACTATTCCGACACATCGTCGCGAGATTTCACGGTTTTAGAGAATGTCGTACATGCCAGCTCCTAGAGGAGCTATCCTGCAGTGTCTACGCCTCCTGCGTCCGTCAGATCGATTTCAAAATCCATCCAGCAGAGGACCTCTCTTACATGCTCAATGACTTACAATATGTTCTCGACCTGGCAGACGCTTTTTTTCACTTGCCTTCCAAGATTCACAAGTCTGAGAGCCTTTGAGTTTCACGAAACACCTCTGTACCTGACTCGGTTGACAAGGGAAATTTGCGTTCAGAGGGTCCTTATGGCACTGCACAATATACAGCTTCCAGACCTCACCGAGCTGCATGTCAATTTCCCGCTCGCCCATCAGTTCGAACAGTTCTTCTCCACCACCTTCCCGCCGAGTCGAACCAGCGAGATCCTGCACCGTCTCCACCATCTTGGGCTGTGCGTGTCCGCGTTCACAAATACTGATGATCTGCGACGGTTCGCAAGCGATGTTCAGGCGTCCATCCTCCCCAAACACGAGGCTCTCCCTAACGCCAACCACAACGCGCATCTCTTCCAGATGGTCAATTTGGCGCCCAACCTCAAGTCGCTGGCCCTCCGTAGCGAAGACATGCTACCCCTCGACGCCCTCGTCTTCCCGCCCTCGCTTCGTCTCCGGTCGCTCTCTCTCCGACGAATGTGCCTTTCATCCGAGGTGCCGATCGCCTGGATCACAGGATTCAAGCCCACACTCCGGGATCTTATCTTAGAGTGGGTTGGGCTGCAGTCCGCGACGTGGCGTGAGGTTCTGCAGACCATGTGCGAGCTGCGGATATTCGAATAGCGGGCCGACCGAGCATCTCTCCGACAGATTCAGTGCGAGCGCGGAGATCAAGACCCGCTCGCCGCACGATTGGCCTGCGCTTGGGGTCCTGCGGCAGCAGGTCAACCGGAACAGAATCGTGGAGGGGCTGCGGCCGCTGGTGTCGACGCCCACGGGTCATAAACCTCACCTTCATCGCAAGTTGATGGCTCGTATGTCGCGGCGAATTTGAGCGGGTGGGATAGGATTAGGTTTTTGTGGAGAGATACACTGCGTGATGGTCAGAGTCAGGACTTCAGTAGCTATTGACGCTGGTCCAACTCTCTCTTGATAGGTTATAGATCGATAGAAAGCAGAATCAAGACTGATCGTAATATCAGTTGGCCTTCTCAACCTAGTTAATTTTTTTTTTCTTTTCATCATGCATAGCATATGACTCGCACACATTAACACAGCAGCTCAAAAACCATATCCGATGCAAACACCCCGAAGGTACATAAAGAATCTTAAACACGCTCATAATATCCACATCTCAACAGTACAGTACAGGCAGTACCCAGGCTTCACAGCGAACCACATTGCATGCGTTTCAAATCCGATTACGGCGGCAATGTTCGCAGACCCGGAGATGGCACCGACGACACTGCAGAATGTACTTCTTGTGGCGTGTCTGGCACACCTCACACTCGAATCCCCGCCTGCCGCCGCCCTCGATGCGTTCAAAGCGCCGCGAGTGCTCGCACTCGTGGTTCCGTCTCAAGTGTTCTTGCATCTGCACCACGCGCAGATGGCGCTCCGGACGGGGCAATGGCGCCACGGCTTCACGATCGACCACCTCCTCCGCTCGCGCAACGAGTCTCTCCTCATCCCATCGATCGCAGGCACAGGTCTTCCATTTTGCGCCGCATACGTAACAGAACTCGGCGCGGCATTTGCATCTGTAGCAGCGTTATCTATTGTAAACGGTCGGAATCCCTATAAACTGATAAAGAGATGAAGGGGATGAAAAGGATGAAGGAGATGTCACGCACGTCATATGATAACAGCCGACACCAAGCTGCACGATCGCCTTGCAGGAGAAGCACCTCTGCCAGCCCTCACTCCACGCCAGTTCCAGCGTGGCCTGCAGCGCCGCATCCTCTGGGCAATCGTCCGCATGGTACACATTCTTGCACATGGTGCAACTCAGGTTGTCGCAGGCCGCGCAGTGCGCCTGGTCGGAGGTGATATGGGCCGGGGAGATGGACTTGCCGCACTCGGGATTGCTGCAATACGTTCTGTCGGTGGTACTGAACTCTATCTCGGCACTGCGAAACTCCTGCAGTTCGTCGTTGAGGAGGAGGGTTTCAACGCGCGAGAGGTCGATCGGCTGGCGACAGCAGCGCGGAGGGAAGAGCGATTGGTCTTTTGTGGCTCGTAGGAACAGATCTCGTATGCACCCGTTGCAGTAGGTGTGGCCACAGTCTAAGCATGTGACTTCGGCTTGAGGGAACGCGTCGTAGCACACGGAGCATTTGGCCTCTGAATTGAAGCTCTGCAGCGCCTCCTCTTGCCTCTCGGTATAAGTGGAGAAGGAGTCTGCAGCATCACTCTGGTGGTCGGCTTCTTCGCCGTGTGTGTATCCCAGCGTCCTGATGGCCATGCCCGACTCACCCTCTGGGGCGACCGGGGTATGTTGTGCTATGGGCAATGCTTGACCCCGGCTGGCTCTCTGGGCTAAGTGCCGATCATTTCTGGCCTGGCTCTCCTCCGTTTGCAAGCTTGTAATCAACAGGCCATCCTGATCCACGGCCAGGGCGATGCTCCGTGCGAGCTTGAGGTCGTTCAGTTGAGCCACCTTGGCGGTGACCTCTTCCTTGAAAATAGCGAATCTGAAATCGTCTTCTGCGGACGCGTCGGTACGGCGTTCTTCGTTGGCTATCTCATAGTAACGCTTGATCTCGGCTAGCTGCTCGGTCAACTGCGATATCTCCGTCGAGATCGGCTAGATGGGTGTCAACATGCGACTCCATGGTCGGTGTGGGAGTGGTATGAGAATTGATGAAAGATGGCCGAGATTTCAGAATAGATGAGGAAATGCAAGGTGCGTGAGAGTTGACCAGGTGTGAGATGGGAGGATTCAACGGCAGGCCATCTATCATGGAGGAGAAATACGTCAGTTCTGGGGTACAGAATGTCTGTAGTGAATGCAGATCAAAGTTCAAACCACGAATTGGAATACCTTGTTGACAGAGAAGTCCGAATGAAAGTAAAGTTGAGTTTGAGTGAAGAGAAATGTGAAGGGAGGCGGCGTTAATGAAGATGGCTCAACCATAACAGCCGGGCTCAATTCCACTCTTGACGGAAGACGGGCGTCAGGCACATTTGACTTCTCCTCCTATTTCAATTCTCACATTACATCCGGGCCCCTGAACCCAACGGCCCTATAGTATTCCCTTGGTCAAGTCAGAAGTAGTGAAAATTGGCATCCCCTGTCATCAAGAGACCAGGCTGACTGCGCCGTATCACCTTCAACGAGACAGTTATCATACTTATTCTGTGGAGGGCTCTGCAGCTAGATGGTTCTGAAGTATATTACAAATGTTAGAGAGACTAGTAATGGTCTTGAATATTGCAGATGTTGATTCTGTTGTCAAAGGTCTAATACAGTGGATTAGCAGTTTGGGCTACACAGATCCAAACTTCGATAGATTCCAAATCCGAGATATTAGGGACTATGGCAGTACGAGAGAGAGAGAGAGAGAGAGAGAGAGAGAGTTGTGTGTGTGTGTGTGTGTGTGTGTGTGTGTGCGTGTGTGTGTGTGTGTGGGTGTGTGGTGTGGGTGTGTGGTGTGGGTATGTTTGTATATGTGTCTGTTTTTCCTTATTAGGCTTTACTAAATTATATGGGGAACTTTCGAGGCTTCCATGCCAATAAAAAGTCACTTCACCGTGGTTTCATACAGTACTGCGGAAAGAATACAACCTCTTTCGTCACCTTTAGGATCCCCCTAGCTGGGGAATGTTCTCAAACTTGGGACTTGGGTCTCTTTCGAGCCATTGCTTATCACATTTGTGAGACGGACGACGACGGTCGGGGCACATATATTCTTTTTTGTTCACCAAGCTGAGCGATACTCAACCTCGTAGTCGGACCTGTCCCAACTGGCCCGCTGGAAATAACATTTGTCATCCTTATACCTGGTATCCTATGTCCACGGCGCGTAGGTATGTCCCATTTTCCAGCCAAGTGACTAGTTCACCGATCCCAAAATACTTGGCTTCCTCCAACAAGGCGAAATATTTTGGGTAGTCATGACCCTTTTGTCGGTCGTAGAAGATGGGAAAGATGCCGCGGCGAAGATATCGAAGGAGGTGTTCGAATAGATCGGGGTCTGCGTCGATGAAGTATGACCCATCTTCAAGGGCATTGTTCCATCGACTGGAAAGCAACGAAGAGAGAAGGTGCTTTCACGGAGGGTCTCACGGGTTGTGGTGTAATCTGCGCTCTCCGACTTATAGCACGATTCGAGGGTCGATTGCAGTCGGTGCCGCAGTCCCAAGTGAGAAAATACTTCGGTTCATGTTGGTAATCACTGCTATTATAGTGTCAAGGAGTTAGATGCAAGATACAGACCCGATAGCTGTGATCGACCGACCTTATCAAATGGTCATATCGGGACTAACTTCCGGATGGCAAGCAAGTAGATTATGATCGTCTTGGCGACGGATGAAAAGACTGCAAACTTGCTGATCAGGAAACTGAGGAGCTTTTACAGATTAAGAGGTCCTGGCGAGGATGTTGTGGGTAAAAAGAAATCATACCAAGTGGTCGAGGGGTGTTGTCTTTACTGCAATTAAATGGTGCCTGACTGTGCAGGCACATAGATCTCAATCATAGCTTACTAATAGTACAGATTTCCGCTGTGTACATAAGTCAAAGGTCCCCATCAGTGGCACGTGACTCACCCCCGCTTCTTCCACAGCACAATGTTTTGCATCTCTGCTTCATCAAAGAGAAGCTGTCAGAAGTCGAAGACATAGATTCGGGTGTAGCGCAGTCCATTTTTCCATGAGGGTCACATCTAACCCTTATGCCATACATTACTGTATATATACTACGAAGGTATTGCACTGCTCCACCTTTACCAAGCGGGGTAAATCGGGAGCCTTCAAGCGGCCCGTTCCATAGAGAAGCTTGGCCGAATTCTACCATTCATACAGTTAGAGTTAGACAAAGGTGGTAAGCTAGTTATGTCGGATTTCATTCACTTGGATCTTCTTCGTCATCCTACTTGCTATTCAGAATGCATGGCCACGTTGACTGATTTGCACCTAACACCCTGCCTTATTCAAACCCACGGCTACCGAACTACTCATAGGCAGCGATCGCACTGGAGAAGGCAGCATCGACCGAGGCAATGGCCGAAGCAATCGTCGTCTTGTCGGTCGAGGTGGCTTTGGCCTCCAGATCTGCACCAAGCTGGTCGGTCCCGGTCTTGAGGGTCTCGATGGACGAGAGCAGGGTGGAGGTGACGCCGGCGGACGCGGCGGTCGACTCCTGCATGCTTGGTTAATCTCATACTTAAACATCTAGCGATTTGATGAACTTACCTTGGCGATGATCTCGTTCAGGGTCGCGACAATGAGCACGGCCAAAGTGGAAACCTCAGACGTGATGCTCGAGCTCTCGGAGGTGCTAAAGGCCGAGGCAGCCGCAGTGTCGGTGATGGCCGTGTCCAGGGCGCTCTTGACAGCGTTGTAGTCGGACAGAATGCCCAGAGCAGCCAAGAGGTCTCCGGTCCAGTTGGTCACGTCGGTCTTGAGGGTTGTCACGTCGGTTCCAACGGTCTTCAGGTCCGTCAAGACCGTTGCCCCATCACGTTTGGAAATGGGACCTGCTTGGGCGAGGAGGCCCAAGGCAGCAATGAGGAGAGACTTGCAAAGCATGATGAAGCAGAGGGGATTTGGCGGAGATGGAGGCTCCTGGCTTTTTCGAGCTGCTGGTGTTCGTGATGCTGTGCGAGAGTATCATCTCCATGGGAATTGACTGCCTTTAAATATCTCTTGATGCTGAAGATTTCCCTCGCTGGTCTTCTCGCGAGAGGGGAACTCGTCCGCTAACACGGAATAGCCACGGATGTTGAAGTCTCCATTCCAGCCCACGATGCTTCATTCTCCGCCATAGCGCCGCAGGTCAATGCAACCCCCTCATTAATCTATTCTGTTACTGTTTTGCCAACACTTTCTTCACGTGTCGACGCGAAGACCGAGGGATCATGTATAGTGGCCATCCGACGACAAACAAACGTAGTCAGCAACATATACTTTCCCTTGTCCAGCCGGGTCTCTTGAACGACACTCGTGCATATCTGTCTGCATGGATCACAAGTTCCTGCACAGTCAGGTCGGCCAGGTCTAGAGTTCGACCTCGGCCAGGCCTAGTACATGGGCGACTGATTGGATCGGCCTCTTCTTATTCTCCCTTTCACAGCAGGGCTCGCCTCCCAACATGAAATTCTCGAATTTCTTTGGTTTGAGGTGAGGTGTAATCCAATGAAACCCTCCAAGCGTCGAGATTCAAGTCGAATCGGACAAGGGGCTAGAGATTCCACAGTCAGATCTCATCTTGAGTCCTTGCAAGATTTCATCTCCGAAATGCAGGGTATGGCAGGTGACACAATGTTGGCCTACCTGAGGAAGCGACTCTCCCCGCTTCTCCAGATGCTTTTCTCAGGTAGGCCAGAGAGCAACAGCAGTTCCTGATCGACGTAGATTCGCTGACCCCGCTCGTGCGCTCAGACATTAATCTAGGCAACGCGCCACAACCCCCCATTCACTATATGCTTATAGGACCATTGGCTGCAGGGTGTTTGTGGCGGCGGAATGCTTCAGATGTCACCATTGGCTCTCTGGTCAAGCATTCTGTAGATCTCTTGCTGAAGAGATGTAGATTGGTGGCTAAACTGGAGGCAGTTGTTGCGGGGGAAGTAGGGCGGGAGAAATGGCTTGGCATGGGTGTGTTTGTTGAGAAACCCGGTCTAGGTTGGGTTCAAGGGTTTTGAAGCGGGGAGTTTGCCATCGCTATCCTTATTGACTGGCTGCTGCGCTAGATGTGCAATTGTTTCGTTGGATGGAGAAGGAGGGAAAGTGTCCATGGGTTGTAGCGAGCGCAAAAGATGAGCGAGGTTAGCTGAATGGCAAGCAAAAAGAAATTAGATTGCATCATCCGTGAATCGAACACGGGCCTCATCGATGGCAACGATGAATTCTACCACTAGACCAATGATGCTGATTGATGTATTTTTGAATTATTTTATAAATCATAACCCAAATTTTCCTATCAGCAAGTCTTCTCCCAGATAACTTCAATCCAACCGACACGTCTAGGAACTCGCAAGTTGTATACCGCTCAAACGTTCAAGATATCTCCCAGTTGAATATGTTTTTCAGAATCCTCTCTGACACAGCTTCAGCGAGCCATACTCGCGACCGTAACATAAAATACATCACGTCATCCCCTCTTCCCCTTGGAGATGTGCTTCGATATATCACTCGCTAGTATATGTTTTGCACCATCGCCATCAAAAGCCCACGTCAACGGCACATGCCACTATAGAGATTGGATAAAAGACTACTGCGGCTCCATAAGCCCCCAAGTATCCCTAGACTAAGTTTGAAGCAAGTAACAAATCATATCCCACAAACACTACCCATCGCAACGACCTCCCGTGTCCAAGTCAATCCTCTTCAACTCCCCTACGGCAAAGGCAATGCACCCGCCCAATCAATCCACAAACCTAGTGTCATGAGCAGGAATGCCAACCCTCAAATACGATAGTAGCGATACCACGGCCAATGCGACAGTTGCACGCATTGGCCACCGCCGCAAGGATCGTCCCGCGCTGCAGAGGCCCTTGACATCATCGCCACTAACCAGTGCTTATCTGGCCGCCAATGCTGTCATCACACCGCGACTTCACCCTTGCACCTTGTGCGAGTAAACTTTTCAACAACACACTACGATCGGCATCCTAAGCCTCCTCCGTCTTGTGCAACGGACAGCGATATTGCACGCCACTGACGTACGCTAGGGTGCGACCTGGCAGGGGAAGACGATATATACTATGTTCTCTCCTCGCTCGACCCCAGACACGATCCCCACTATCAGACTTCAACTCCACTCCAAGACTTGCTTGACACTCCATAATTAATACTTGACACATAGACTTGACATTTGGAAAGAACAATAGCCAGAATGCCTCTCTTCCACCGCAACTCCGTCTCCAGCGCCTCCGATCGCAGCATTGACGACCCCAACACCGATTACACGCATCGCTCGCGGCGCTCCCACCACTCCACCTCGCCGCGATCCAGCCTCTCCTCGTCCTCATCCTCTTCACGCCGCCACAGCCACAGCCACAGTCACAGCCATAGCGGTAGCAACCACGGCCACTCGCGCTTCAGCTTCGGCGGTAGCCGCCATCACCAAGAGGACCCCTCTGTCCTAGCCGCGAAGGAGCAGGTCTCGCGTGCCGAGGCCGCCGAGCGCGAGGCCGACCGCGCCCTCCTGGCTTCCCGGCGGGCTGTGCACGAAGCCCGCGAGCATGTCAAGCGGCTCGACGAGGAGGCACGGATCGAGTATGTGCCCATCCCATCCCGTGCCCTATCTGGCTGTCTCTAGAAGCATAGCTAATGACTGATGAATGACAGGGCCCGCCTGGCCAAGATGAAACAGGACCAGGTCAAGTCGATCACGAAACGGGCGAAGCCGCTGGGACGTAAGTGATTCGTGCTGTGTTGTGAATATATTCGGGGTTGTGGTCGGTGCTGATGGACGATGGGATTAGGGCACGTTTGAGCATTGCAGAGACAGGGGTAGATTTAGTGGACGATGTATCTGTACAATACTGTCTGTGATTGCTGTTGTTTGAGCGTGTCTTCTTGAGCGACTTCTTGTTTGAAACACAGCGTGTACGATATGAGAGTGTATGATACGCATACCTGGTGGCAAATTCACTTTGTTTATGTCTGGTTGAGGATACCAGTGAAGTCGATGGGGTAGTGAGGGATTAGTATACTTCTAGTTCGAATCATGGCTCGGAGCTCATTCGTCGCGAACATCATCATTTGTAATTCAGGTTCGACCCTCCTTGATGATGTCTGCCGCATTCTAGGCACGATGCTCACGAAGCACTCTCGGGCGACAATGGGCGAAGATGCCCTTCAAACTGGGGCCCTTTCCGGGGCTGCTCAGGCTCTGGAATCAGCGCTTGGACGGTGAACACCATAGTCTCTCGAACGTAGCTGGGGGCCATATCAACCCCGAAGACGCCATCAACGAATCTCGCATACCATAAAGTACTGCTGAGGCAGTCGCGGGAACACCCTCGTCCATGTGGCCCATGCATATCACAAGCTCTCCGTTTTGCATAAGACCAGGAATTTATCAAGACGATCATCCAAGGAGGTCATTGGCATACCTGCGACCGAGCGGATCTGGTTGTCAACCTTTGCTTTCTATTGATACTTGTCAGCTTTCAGACAGCTCTACGTGGCTGTCGCTCTGGCCAGCATAACCTTGACATCTGCAGACAACCCCGCAGCTAGAGTGGTACGCATGCTGACTTCCTTCCATTGGCGAAGGTAACAACTAGGAACGATGAGAGAAAACTCTTTGGCTTCCTGATGTCGGGGCAACAAACACTGCATAAGACATGAAAGGAAGGCAGGAAAGCAAAGAAGACGATAAGATAAAGACAGTCACGGGACTCTCTTGTCCGGTCGGGGATTTCCCCGCATTTTCCCTTGCCAAATTCCTCTCCAACAATTCAATCCACTCTAACCTCATCTTTCGGGTCTTCAACATCATGCATCATGAACAGTTCCTGCTATACGTGTCGCCGCAGACATGTCGAGTGCCAAATGGTCCGACCCCCGTGTAAGAAGTGTGAGAAGGCCGGGCTGGAATGCCTCCTGAAGCGGCCCCTTCGCTGGGTCGAGGGCGCGACTTTTCGCGGCACAGCAACAAATTCCCCAATCGAGAGCGCATTCCAAGTCCGGCCATCGACACCTCGCCATGTCGGGTCCAAATCTCCTGATAAATCTCTTCATGAGACTGATCTTGTCGACTATTCATCCGAGATTACAACCTCGAAGGGAATCTCGTGGCATGTTGGAATCTACGAAGGCTTCCTCCGAACGCCTTTCAACTTGGACGATCCTACACTCAAAGGCCTGGACGAGGGCTCACGATACTACCTCAATTACTGTCAGTAAGAACTTGATTAACTTTATCCGAGACGAACAAGCACTGACCTCCAGGGCAGACAGCAGATGCGTATGCAAGCTGTTTGTCATGTTCGATAGCCAACACAATCCCCTGAGACAGCTCATCCCCGCTGCTATCGCCCATCCCGTCCTCCTGACGTCCGTTGTCGCCCTCGCCGCGCGACACAGAGCGAATGCCACCCAGACGTTCGAACAAATCCAAGCAGCAGATCACCCTCGCGTTTCGAAACCTTGCTATGACGCTGCTTTATACAAGTATCGGGCTATCAAAGGACTTTCGCAAGCTCTGAATGATGGAACAGGTTCTTCGCTCGACGTCGTGATCAGCAGTGCATTCCTGTTGATCTTCCTCGACCTGTTCGAGTCTGGAAGCGACAAGTGGAATGTCCATGTCGAAGGTGTCAAGAAACTCATTGCCGCGCTTCAGGTTCCGACCATGTCGCGAGATCTGGGAACAACTATGGAAGGCATGCGTGACTTCGCGATGCAACAGATCTACTTGTATGCTCTTGCTCAACGACTATTCCTGTATCCGATGGGACTGTGCTAACTTGTTTTGCCATCGTAGGATTGATACATTGGGTACGACATTTACACGTCCTGGATTGCTAGTCAATCCCGGCTCACATCAGCCATCCACATCTCTCCAAATGAGCGTCGACAAAGCTTATCTAGGCTGTCCCGAACAGTTCGTGGGTGCTCTCCGCTCCTTCTCGGCGGCTAGAGACTGCTTGGCGAAGCCAGGGCGTCTTGACCGTGTTGATGCGTATTTATTGCTCCAGACTATGAAGGACTCGCTTGAGTCTACGCAGAGCTTCAACTGCCACGCCTGGGCGGCAGGGCTCGAGCCGTCTCGCTCATCCCTCATACAACCCACACAATCTATACAGATGTTGAAGGATTTGGGTCAGGCTTACAAGTCGGGAACACTGATTTACGGCTGGCGCGTATGCGATGTTTTCACTGGTGACTCGACGCCTTTGGATGACATAGTGGACGAGCTGATCAGTACTGTCGCTGCGTTACGAAGCAACGAGGCACTGTTCAAGTGCATTCTTTGGCCCCTATTCGTTGCGGGTTTAGAGTCCCGGCATCCATGTCAGAGGCAGTTGGTCGGCGATTGTCTTCGCAGATTCTGGTTTGAGACGAAATGTATCAACGTGATCAACGCGGAGAAAATCCTTCAGCGGTTCTGGGCCCAACCCGAGCAGGGGCCGAGCTTGGGGCCAAATTGGATCTTTAGCATGGGACATATAGAAGGCGACTGGCTTTTGATATAGTCGAGTGTAGATCTATGATACCTACCTTCCACTCCGCCAAGGCGACCTCCACGACATTCGGTGCGGCCGGACGATCGCAGAGCTCGGAAGATCATTGGTCGGCTACTACCCCACTCCAAAAGACTTCCTAATCCGGCCATATCGTCGCCTCAGGCTCAGAGAAAGGAGCTCAATCCACCGAGCAGACAGTCAATCATCATCCTGGGACTCGTGAGATCGCTCTGTCAGTGTAGCCTCTGGATTGCCTGATGGAGTCAGACCTGAGGGATTTATCAGCGCGGGTCTTACAAATCGTCACAATGATCACATCTACGGCTCGCTCCGGATGGCTATAAAGAGCCCAACACTGTCTCTCCTCAGGAACCAAGACAACCTTCACAAGTCTGCATCCGTTTCCTCTGCTATCTCGAATCAGCCCTTCTCGCCAACATGTGTCGCAACGAAGTCGAACTCAATGGCTGGACTAGTGTCCCGGTCAATGCGGGTGCCATTTTCCAGGATCAGCCCTTCATCACCGCGCCTGGCCCGCTCTCAATCGATGAGATCAAGTTTCCATCTGACGACCCTGTCGTTGCCAAAACCCAGGAGTATGCCCAGGCCGTTCTCCATCCGCAGACCTACAATCACTCCATGAGAGTCTACTACTACGGTACGTTCATCTGAACACTTAACAGACGGAATCACTAATAGCGATTTCCAGGAATGGCCATCGCTAAACAACAGTTCCCAAAACAAGCCGCCACCTTCAGTCCTGCCACTTGGGCCCTGCTCTGTCTCCTGCACGATCTTGGCACGGCGGAGGAGAACTTGACGGCCACTCGGATGTCCTTCGATCTCTACGGGGGCATCAAAGCTCTGCAGGTCCTTAAAGATTTCGGGTCTACCACGGATCAAGCCGAGGCAGTCGCTGAGGGAATCATCAGACATCAGGATATGGGCGTGGACGGGACCATCACCTTCTTCGGCCAGTTGATCCAGCTGGCCACCCTGTACGACAATGTGGGTGAACACCCTTACGTTAAGGACTTCAGCAAGGTGCTTCACGACGTCACGCGGGAAGAGGTCAACAAAGCCCATCCTCGACAGGCCTGGTGCTCATTCTTTGCGGACACGATCCGGAAGGAGGAGAGTGTCAAACCCTGGTGTCATTCAACGCATATTGTGAATTTTGACAGGCAGATCGAGGGCAATACTCTGATGAAGCAGTGGGAATGATCATCTCAATTTTTGTGCTCTGTATGCACAGAAGCTATGCTGTTGTTACGCTAGGATTAATGTCAAATTGTACATGCGATTCTGATATCAGTTCATTCCTCCAACGATCACCTATCAAGAAACTCTCGAAGCGATACTCTATGCTTAACGGGCAGGTTTGGTGTTTGTTGTTGTACAGTTTAGACAATATAGGAACCACTGGCTGCGAAAGTCCGAGCCAGGATGCGAAACTACGTAGCGCGGACCGGCCCCACGCCAAGTTATGATCATCCAAAGAATGCGGGAAACAGATCCAGTCTCAATCCAGAGGATATATAGCAACTGATGCTCTTTGATAGCGGTCGGCTTGGCTTTTCAATCACAGATTTAGCAACACCAGCATTGTCATACCTTGTCCAGAATTGCCCATATATCAGACACATCTTCCACCGGCTTGTCAACGGCCTTTCAAGCACAACCGGGCCGTGGGGCTGGCAGCGAAGGACCAACATTGCGATCGAGTCCGATGATCGACCCGAATGACCTACATGAAGGCACCGTACCGAACAAGGAGCCGGTCGAGATGAGTATGGCAGTGCCGAATAAACTAGAGGCAAATGGGCTCGTACTCGCTACCTCGGTAGGTGAGATGACAAGATAGTTCTTGAACTATTACCTGATCGCGATATGTGAATCCTAGTTGACACGGAGTGTATAGTACTTGCCACTTCTACTGATGCGACTGGAAGGATACAGTGATGGTGAAGGTAAGACGCGGACTCCTTCGATCGTGCTAATTGCATATGTTCTGTGGACGGGATCGGAAGTCCTTGTGATAGCAATGTTCTATCGTGTGATGCAATGCCTTTTATGGCCACGATTTCAACAACGGATTAACGACAAGTGGTTGCAATTCCAACCCTCTCACAGTACAATGGCCATTAAGCATCTTGGCAATTGTCTTGCTACCATGTCGTGGGCCAAGTCTATCGCAGCCAATCCTCAATATTGAAGTCGATCTATCAGGTAGAACAATGACCGATCGGAGAGAGATTCTATCGAGGCCGCAAGCCAACCCAACCCCACTCTCAAACCGTCCAGTGGATTCATGGCTTGCCTTATCGCTGCAGGAACCAATCTCAACCCTCGATTGCCTTGCAGGCCGATCGCTGCCCCTTGCAGCTTTTGCTGGCCTTGTGCATTCGAAGGTCGAATCCGCGCTATTGAGTATATCTGCCCCTGATCAACAGCCAAGATTATCAATTATGGCCGGATATGAACAACAAAGTAGTAGGAAGCTTTGAACTCCGTTAAACTATGCTATTGACCTTTCGGCGACGGCATTAGGCGTAGAGCGGAATTGTTGTGTCCTTCTGAGGTCTACAAGGCGGCTGCGGTTACACCGATAGTATATTGTACAGGCTGCAACCGCTTGATGAATTTTCAGATCAATCATATATTGTGTGGACGACTGCTATTCATCTGGCATTCTTCATATTTCAAGTCCCACTGACGCCACAGGATACTAGATACTGACATCATTGGGGCAGTTTGCATACTGGGCGCTGTTGCCACTGGGAAGATGCAACCTCAACACTCATCTTCGGACGACAGACAGGACGAACATTGTTCCGATCCCGATCCCGATTATAGTTTTCCCGACCACGTGACCCTGACCAACCCGAGGAATCCGAGCGATGAAAGCAATCTATCGTTAACATACCTGTGCCAGTGGCCACCACGAGCGAGACAACTCCCCCGGAGTTTTCTCCATTTCGAGCCGGTCCGAATCACTGCTTCTGGCTATAATCGAGTCTGACGCTATGATGGTTGCGATGGTGCACAACAACGTACTGAATGATGTAACTCCAAACGCACCTGATGTTGCTCTCCTCTTCCCACTTTTGCCCGTAGACTCACTCCCACCCACACCGCGTGCACGTTGTATGAAAACGCCTTATGCACGCCCGCACTCGGTAATTCGGGAAGAGATTTGGTCCCTCGAACTATTGCCCCCATAGAAATTGGTCGGAGTGACCCGAAGCATTATTAGCGTCTGATTGGCTCAGTGCAATGGTCCATCGCCTGCCAACAAGTAAGGGTCCTGAAACCAGAATCATTACCAACCCAACCACGCTTTGCCTCTGCCGTCCTGAGTGAGACAGTTCAGGCTATTATTAGTGCTCCCCGAGATTAGACTGAGTGGTACGCTGGCTGTGCCTGACTGAGTGCTGAATTTTGGGTTTGCATTTTCGGTTCCTGAGGATTAGGGCAGGCATTGACTGATGGATGGATTGATCCACAGGTCTCAGCTGGAGCTAATGATCATCGCGGAAGCAGGGAAACAAAGGAACGGCTCTGTAAAATGTGAATTACCAGACCAGACCCGACCCTCATTCGTATTATTGCCCCCCTCCCTCCAATTCGGGTGGTTAGCGGTTGTTGTCTTATCTATTTTCGTTGACATGTTCGGACCTATCCAGTGGAATAATGAGAGGCCGACTGCCCCATTATTGCCACATGGGTATCACCAGATTCGACAGAGACTTTTCCTTCTCTGAGACATCCCAACTTGCCTGCGCCTGAGCCACAGCCCTTAACTATATAACTGCATCCGTCGTCTATCCGTCTGCGGGCTTCTCTCCTTCATCAACAACACCAACGCTCGTTGCCTTTAACTTGACTCCTCGCATTCGTTTTGCATACCCAGTCACCCGTTTAATCCCTTTTAAACCAACACTCACCATGCGTTTCTCTTACGCCGTTCTGCCCCTGGCTGCCATTGTTGGCGGTATGTCTTCTAGCATATCTCTTGTGTCTTTGAGCCGTGACTAACGCATCGCAGCCCTCGAGGTCACTTCCCCTACCAAGGGTGAGGATGTTGACGTCTCCAACTCCTTCACTGTGAAGTGGGACTCTGTCAACACCGATGCTTCCTCTTTCAATCTTTACATTGTCAACAACGCCGTCTACCCCCCTGTTGAGCAGAAGATCGCCTCCGATGTCGACACCTCCAAGGGCTCCTACACCGTCTCCAGCCTGTCCGGCCTGACCGACGGGTAAGTTGTTATTGATGGGATTGTCATTCGATGAGCAGCCACTAATAATTCTACAGCAAGGGCTACCAGATCAACCTGGTCTCTGACGTGCCCCAGAACAGCGGCATCCTCGCCCAGTCCCAGCAGTTCGACGTGAAGGGCGCTTCCGACTCCTCCTCGTCGTCCTCCTCCAGTGCCAGTGCCAGCACCTCGACCTCGACCTCCTCGTCGTCGTCTTCTTCCTCCTCCAGCTCCGCCTCCACCACCCTCACCTCGACCGCCAGCTCTTCTACCGGTACTGCCAGCACCCTCATCTCCACCACTGCCCAAACCACCTCCAGCGGCGCGCAGTCGTCGACTGCCCGCGCCAGCACCCCTGTGGCGAGTACTAACCGTGTGTCGCCGTCAGGATCCGCTACCCCCAGCTCGACTGTCAACGGCACCGCCCCCACGGCGTCCGTCCACCCCGGCGCTGGTGCCTCCCTGGCTGCTCCTCTGTCGGCCGTTGCCGGTCTCGTGATGGGCGTCATGGCTCTTACTCTGTAAATGAGTTCTTGTTCCCCTCTCGCCGTTTGCGAAGGATGCGGCCGCCCGGAAGCGCATTTGCATCCCGGCCACTCCCTCCCCGAACGCGACTACACCCCGGACTATAGTTACTATGCACAGCGCAATTCCTTTCTTTTCCGGAAGCGATTGCGGTATTAATCGGAATGCCGGAGTGATGTGATTGATCTTGAATTGATATGTGTCCGACCTGCTGTTTTGTTTCTGCTCGTTTTGCGCTGTGTTCTAGAGGCGAGATCTACCAATCTACAGTTGAATAATAATATTCCCCGAGTTTTTTGTTTGATGGTTCCTGAATATAATGCACGGGCAGTCGGATAATTCTGATGCTTAAACTACCTTCATCCCTGGGTTCGATAATCCGTACCTGACCGCAGGCCTCTGGTTTCGTCCGGGTTGGAGATTTGATCTGACATCATCCACCCTGATTGTAAGGGGTGGTATTGAAAAATACCCACTTGCTGATCCCGGTACTCTTACCGAAAGCAGCCCAACTTCCCACAGGCCGGACTCGCCGGATCTTCTCTTCCGAGACATTATCTCTGGCTGGCACCAGACAGACCCATGTCTCAATGCCCTCGCCTGCCCGGTTCCATTCGCAATTTGCCGGTTTCTTGCGCTTTGCGCTTTGCCCTTGGCGCGCCAAATACGACGGCAGCTGCTTGGCAGCGCCCGTGAGGGCTTTTCCCCGGCGGAAAAAGTAAAAGTGAAGATAAGGGAAATGAGGATTAGGCGTGGGCGGAATATAGTGGGAGACTAATGTACAGTGCATGCAGTTACTGACTGGACCCCTGCAATGGGCATGGCAAAGGGGCTGCAGGTCTATTTCTCTATTTCGCTGGTGTGCTTATGTGCTGTGAGATGCAGACACACAGTAAATACAAATAGTAGACAGACCTATTGGCAATAATGTTTCAGTGCATCGCCCCCACTTGACTCGACATTCAGATTACTTGATGGCTTGATGATTCGACGACTTTTCCTGTCAGAGGAATTGCCTAATCCGGCTCTGCTTCTAAAAGGTTTTTTTTTTTTATGCTCTGCTAGTGTTGTTGTCTGCTCGTCTGGCGCGCATTCTGACTGGCGCGATCGCCAGGGATTGATTGCCATTTGCCACCAGCCAACTGTCCTTGCCAGATTCACTCGTATTTGTATTGTGTGGTCCATGGCTCCCCGTTAGGCATAGATGTCGTGATCACTGCAGATAAGATGGTCAGTCAAGCTGATTGCCTTTTCTTCCCACCCCCACCACCACCAAAAGAGAATCTGAAGAAACTTACAATGGTTCCGAGAGACGCGCGCGGTCCGGGACGGAGGCATTGACCCAGACACTCACCCCGCGGCCTGATACGGGGAACAGCCCATACCCGTGCTCGTCAATCACCACCGGGCTACTACTACTACTGCTGCTGCTGCTGCCGCTCTCCAGCACATCCGTCCACGTCTCGTGGGCGTGCCCAGGCCCAACATACATGCGCTTCGTGGCCGCCGTTTCGCTGGGCCCCCAGTGCAGCACACACGCCAATCCCGCCCGGTGGCGCGCGTTGCCGTATCGCACAAAGCCTGTGGCGTTTTGGCGCGCGTGGGTCAGATACGAACTCTCTCCTTAAAACGGCTTGCATTCAATTCACAGGGTAAGGGGAGGTGCGCTCACCGATGCAGTGTGCCTCGTCCAGGTAGTCTTGCTGCTCGCCGTACGCATACAGCTTGCGCACCCGCGTTAGGATCGGGAGCTGGCGACCGTAGCCTGCGCGGTCGTGCTGCGCGCACTGTCCGTCCCAGATCCCGTACAGGTCGCCGTAGAATACGCACGGATGGCCCTCTCGGCGGAGCAGGATGAAGGCATACGCCAGGAGTTTGAATTCCGGGGCGATTGTGTTCTGCGGGGGCGGGGTCAGTTCGCTGAACTGATGGGGTGGTGGCTGTGTTTGATATCAATCAGGGCAGGACAGGCAGGCTTACCTCCATCATTTGGCCGGGTTGCTGGCAGGTTGCGTTAGTTAGAGCCTCAGGCGGTGCGCTGGCAGCTCACTTACCGTGTCATGGTTCTCGACAAACGTCTGTCATCCAACCCCAATCGAGTAGTCAGCGTGCATGAACCCCCTCCGACTAGTCCTCAGCAAGCACCAAGGACAAACTCACCAACGCATTTTCCGGACACCGCTGCATCAACGTCCCCCGCAGCACCTGGCGCAGATCCGCCCGGGAGTCCAACGAGACGCGGGAGAAGGAGTGCACCAGGGGCGCATCGACCGCCCACACCGTGTGCTCCATCTGCTTGACGTAGCGCACCAGCTCGTGCACGTCGCCCGTCCAGTACTCGCCGATGACGACGAAGGCCTCGTGCGTGGTGGCGCGCATGTGCGCCGTCAGCTCCTTCTGGAACTGCAGCGAGAAATGCTTCGCCGCGTCCAGACGCATCCCACGCAACCCCAACGTGGCCCCAATCCAGGCCGCCCAGTGCAGCACGTCGGCCCGCACCTCCGGGTGCGCGTAGTCCAGGTTCGCGAACATCAGGTAGTCGTAGTTCCCCAGCTCGGTGCCGACGTCGGCCGCCCACTGCTTGTCGGCCACCCGGTAGATCGCGTTAGTCTGGCTGCGGTCGTCCCAGTCCACACCACTGAAGTGCTGCCAGTGGTACTGCATGCTGCTGTAGACGGCGCCGCGCCCCGCGAAGTCGAAGCCCGTCCAACCGTCTATCTGGGTGGGGGCGGCGATTTCGACATCTCGGCCTGTGGCGGGTTAGATTCAGTCTCACCCGAGGATTGGTTCGTGGCACAGTGCGGGGGAGGGGCAGCTGGGGAAAGGATGATATGGGGGACATGGAGCTGAAGACAGGGTCTTTTACGTTTGGGATCGACCTTCACCGCCATGAATCGTTCGTGATAGTCGGCTCCCGCCTTGTGGTTCAGCACCGCATCCCAGTACACGCCCAGCTGCAGCGCGTGGGCGTCGGCCACAAGCTCCCGGAGCTCCTGCAGTGATCCCCATTTGGTTGGGCGCACTCCCTTCTGGTCGAATTCGCCGAGATCGTACAGGTCATAGATGTCGTACCCGTTGCCCCCCGGGTTCATCGCCTTACACCCCGGTGGCAGCCAGAGACTGTCCACACCGATGGCCTTGAGGCTGGGGAGCACACGCTGCAGTCGCCGCCAATGGCGTTTGTCGTCGGGGACATGCCATTCGAAGGCTTCCAGCAGGAGCGTGTTGTCCTCCGGGTCGTGCCAGCTGGGTAGAGACTCGAGGTCACTGGCCGCCGCTGATTATATATATATATAGATAGATTATTAGACTGGAGAGCTCTAGGACGGGTAAGGAAGGGAAGGGTGGGGAGCGAACCCTCAATCTGCTTCCATGGCAGCTGGTCCTTTCTTTTGCGTGGTCGACAACACCAGGGGAATAGGACCATGATGCGATCGAATTGAGGGGATGGTAGTATGGGATGGATGGGAGATCTAGATGATCTAGTTTGGTTGGTTAATTGGTTGATTTGGCTGGTATACAGGGATATCAGATTCAAGGTTGGCCCCAACAATTTCCCCCCTTAATGCCGTTGCCGAGCAGTGCAGCAGCAGCAGTGCAGTCTATTTTGGTTGGCGGATTCAACGCTAAGAGGATCTTAGGTAAGACACCTGTGACAGTACAATACCAAGCGGGTAACAATCAACCACACACACACTCTCTCTCTCCAAAACCCCCCGACCGGTCGCATGCCGTGCACAACAAAGCTGCAGAGGCTGCAGAGATTGAAGAGATTGAACTCAAGTCCCTTTACAACTGAACAGGTCATAATTGGATGGGGCAATGACAGACTGTGCTTAGCTCTCCTGTGGCTCACTCGGAAATGGCCCTGTTTCAAAATAGTTATCCCGGATTCCGTCCGAGGGCTTAGCATCGTCCATCTAAACCCAGAGAGGATCACGGTGGAGTCGGTCGAAGCTAAGAGAACAAATAACCGGGGCGAGCATCGCCAATGTTAGCTGCAAAAGGGAAGCAAAGTGGGAAGCAAAGAGCCCCAGAAGTCCAAGACAGTCCAAATTACTGACCCACTGCCCGGTCTTTCCGGCATGAATGGGCTGAGCCGATTACTTGAGGAAAATCCACTAGATAGAAAGACAGCAAATGTGAGATCATCATGGCCATGAGATAGATCAATCGGACAATAATGAGGTGGGACCACAGGGGGGCAGAGATTCAAAAACTCGTAATCTAAGTACAGCGCCAAGGGAGCGAGGAGAGAAAAAAAGAGCGAGGTAAAATTGGTATGTACATCGAGAAGGCTTAGCAAGGGCAGCAGGATGAATTCAAGGGGGCGGGGAGAGAGAGAGAGAGAGAGAGAGTAGACAATTGAATGGACAATTGGACTAAAGGAAAAGGCTGGTGAACAGAGTCATCGCCACCGAGACCAAGAATCCGCCCGAGAGCAATTGTCGAGGAGCCACGGTCGCACTGGCCCCTGAGGCAGCAGCAGCAGCAGCAGCAGAGAGACGGAGATGAGTGAGCGAAGTGCTGTTGGAACTGTAGCCACATAACCCACTGCCAGGCATCAGATCCGCCCGGAAGAAGACGTGCGGCTCGCCCTTGTCCATCGGCACAATCAGCTGGCTGAAGTCATTGACCGTGTAGTTGACACAGCGCAACACCTCCACCACCTCAATTCCCGCCCCGTAGGTCATCGGCAGCGTCAGATTGTACGAACTGCCCTGGCTGCCTTGCGTCGACAGCAGCATCACCACCTGCCGGCCAAAGGCCCCCTTCCAGAATCCGAGTTCACTCCCACCCTGGTAGATCGGAATGGTTTGCATGTCGATGTAGTCCGGGTCCAGCTTGTACGCGTGCTGGCGCACCCGGTTGAGCTTGGCGATCAACTGGTATAGCTCCGAGGACGTGTCATATCCATACTCCCAGAGCGCCTCACGGTTGTGCGTGCCCGCGTACGAGCCGTTCAGATGCTGCTCCTGGCCCTGATACACCCACGGGATCCCGTCGTAAAGCATCTCGAACGTGATCGCGTTCTTGGCAAGCTGGAACCATCGGAAGAAATTAGCCAGACTCCTCCTCCACCGCTCATCGCCAAGGGGAAAAGGGGCTTACCGTGAGGTCGTCGTTGGCGAACGCGAACCGGTCCACATCGTGGTTTTCGATGAAGGTCGGCATCGACGGCACATCGTGGCAGAGTTGTTGCACCAGCGCGATCCGCTCGAACAAAGCGCTGGGCTTGCCCCGCGTGAAGGCATCGAGAATGGTGTAGTACAAGGGGAAGTTGGGCAGACTGGGCAGGTAGTTGTTCTGGAAGTCACACACAATCGAGGCGTTCTGCTCAAAGACCTCACCCGTCATGAAGATCCCCACGCGGTTGTGGAATTCGGTCAGGAAGCTGGGGTTCACCGACTTGGCCGCATCAATGCGCAGCCCGTCAATCGAGTAGGTCGAGATTATCTGGTTCGCCCAGTCCACCAGCATATCTTGCACATTCTGATGTTCGGTAAACAGATCCGGCAGCGCCACATAGTTGTCACCGGTCTGACACGTCTGCGCCTGCGTGTAGTTGTTCCAGTCCGAGATCTTGCAGTAGGCATGGTAATAATCCGAGTTGTTGAACGGTGACAAGGACGAGTACTTGATGTGCGTGGCGGGGTTCTGGCCGTTGGTCATGTACGCCATGTTGTTAATCACCGTGTCCATCATCAGGTACATCCCCCGCGCGTGGAGAGCGTTACTCAGATCCAGCAGATCTTGGTGCGTGCCGAATCGCGGATTGAGCGAGTACAGATCCTCGGGCCAGTATCCATGGTAGGCTTCGCCGTACGAGACCCGACCATCGATGTTCTTGATAATGGGCGAGATCATGACCGCATCAAAGCCCATGCCCTGAATGTAGTCGAGCTTGTCGATGGTGCCGCGCCAGGTTCCTCCGCAGTACAATCCTGCCGTGGTGTTGCAGGCGGCCGCTTCGGTGCCGGCCGTGAGGGCAAACCGATCGGTCATCGTCTGGTAGATCGTGCGCGACTTCCAGTCCTGCGTCGACGCCGCCGAGACTGACTGTCCCGTGCCGAGAAGGTAGAGGGCGAGCATCCATTGCCCAAGCCCGGAGAGTGAAACCATTGTCGCGAGATCTAGAATGGGAGGTAGTTCATTACCCTCCCAACCACAAGGGGGCTAAAGTCAAAGGATGGTAGAGGAAGAATTACTTCCGATCAAAAGTTGCCTAGGGGAGACTCTGGTGTACGCTGGTTAACGGCACAGGAGCGATTGGCGCATCACCTATCAGGGGCAGATCAGGAAATGACTGGCAAAAAGAATGACGAGAAGAGAATAGCGTGTACGCGATACAGAAATGAATGGCAGTAGTCGGTCGAATGAGTGACGACAGGTAAGAATGAGTGAATGAGTGAATGGATGTTGAGTTGGTTAGTTGGCAACGAGCGTCATCTCGATAAGAGTGAGGGGGATGGCAGAGGGCATGATTGGGAAGAGGAGATAACTTTGCAGGAGACGATGTCTACATTGGCAATTGTCTGGCCACGATGGGCAAGCGGACACATAAAGCCCTAAGTCTGGAGAAATCTTCAAGCTATCCCCAAGCAGCTAGTGACCGGGGCCATCACCGTCTAGTTGATGCTAGTCATGGTCATAAGATGTGATGGTGTCCATCATTCCCATCCAGGGGCAATGCTTGTTGGGCGAAAAATGGGTTTCCCGTGAGTCGCCGCTGGTCCGAATTTCCTTGGAAAGGTGGAAAAGATGGAAAGAATTGGGAACTTCCTCGGCAGAAAGCAGGGACAAACACCCGTTGGTGTCCGGTTACAAATGGATTCTTGTCCATTCTTAGCCCTTTTCCCCATGTCACCAAGACCATGGCAGTCTAGCGTGGAAAAAAAGCGTGAGTGGGGGTGAGACAGGAGAACTCTTAGACTGGCTGCAGGCCTATCACACTCGACAAATGACTGGAACTCTCTCATATCAGGTCTCACTTCCATCTTCCATCCCAAAGGCATGGCCGTCCGCCATTCGTTGATGCTCCTTCCACTTGCTTTAGATCAAGCAGCCGGTTGGTGGTGCCTGAGCGGCGATAATCAAAACCCCTGTCAGGAAGCTAAAGTTAGAGATGGAAAAAAGGGGGGCCAGTCGTGTGCCTAGGTAGGAGGTGACAGTATGACGGAATTCCGCCTGGATATTGAATGAGCCAACAAGAGTCGACTCAGGCCCTGAGTTACATTCAACATCAACCGCGTAGTTTACCGGGCAAGCAGAACAGGGGTTTTCAGGGTTGATCTCCATCCTCAGCCCAACCTGCCAGGACGTAGCACAGGTGGACCCGGGCACGAACACCCGGAATTCCTACGAACTGTCGAGCAGATGGCGATCAAAAACGGTTAAATTCAGGGGATTGACAGGGACAGGGGCACGTGTAATTTGTTGGCTGGAGGGAGGAAATTCGGAGATTGCAGTGTGGCCCATGCAGGAGCGAGAGAGAGAGAGAGAGAGAGAGAGGGAATGAAGAACCTCAGGCATCTTCAGGCAGTCAGGCACCGAGGCAGAGAGATAAAGCGGGGGTCAACTTGGCTTGCAGGGATTCTTATCACCACCTACGTCAGACTTCCAGTAGTCCACAGGACACGACTCAATCAGAAACGATCCAGAAGGCAGGGAGAATCATTGCCCCTGCATAAGTTAAGGGGGAGGGGAGGAAGGGAGGAGAAGAGGGGCCTTCCACCGGTGTAGATGCCGGATCATCTTATCCATCCCGAAGGGTGATTGCATGCAACCGTTTCATACAGTACTAAGTACTAAGTAAGTACATCCAGCCCACTGGGGAGGCGAGGAAAAACTTTTAGGAACAGCCAGCGAAGAGCCCTATCATGTACAAACACTTGGAGATTGCATTGAGTCAGTCTATTATTAGGGAGGGGAGTGGGTGAGTGGCTGGTGGGTGATTAGTCACAGGAAATCTGTGAGTCCGAATAGCAGCCTCATTGATCACATACAGCCAGCACACTCAGCACACTCACTCAACATCAGCATATCCGGCATATTCAGGCATAGAACAGGTGGTCTGAGACATGGATGGGACGGTGTACACCACAGCCACTCACCGTCAGCCCAAGAATCTGCGCCAAGTCCTTGGACCCGCTGGCTATGCTATTTTCTGCTCGGAGATAGAGTATGGAGAATGGTAATTTGCAATACAGTCCACAATGTACTGTATGTATTGTTTTTTCTCTCTTCTTGCTCAGCCGTTCTCAGGGCACAACTATATCTGGCTACCGAACTGGACTTCCCCCAATTCCTCCCAATCAAGTCAATCTATCGACTCCAATGCCAATCGGAAGGGTCCGTTTGGATCTGACTGTGGCTCGCCACTAATCCGGATTTTCTCTCAGTTAGACCTATCAGATGGGTCTTGTCACTTGTCCATGTCTCAAATCCCCTCTGAATTTTTTCCTCTAACGGACAGGTGTCTGCCAATAATTGTTTTACTTGCTCCTGAAAGGGGGGGGGGCCCCCGCAGCGGACAGCCTGGCGAGGGTGGGTGTGTGTGTATATGTGCTCTTGCTGATTTCAACCAGAAACAAATGTTCTGGGAACACCTCTGGCGACGCTTGCATTCTTATATACGGCAAACGGCTAAGGGAATAAATCTAATTCCTACGACACCTCTACCTACCTAGCCTGGAGCCGTCCAGTAGAGTCTAAATTCGGGGACGATAACGAAAGGGTTGTCCGACGGATACGATAGTAGAGCAGCCGGTGCCCGAGTTGGGACCGATCCGTCTATGGTAAGACAACAATCTCCTTGGCCTGGCTGTGCCGTTTTCCCTCTCTCTGTTTCCCTCTCTCTCTCCCTCTCACATTTCTGTTTTCTTCTTTTTTGGCGGTACGAGGGGCAATTTCGCTGCTTCCACTCAGCTCGTGGGCCCCCCCCCCCCCTCTTCCTCCCCGGTGCTTTTGCCCACCTCGTAAAAGACGAATGGATTGCAGTCGGCGCTGTTGTCTTGGCTCTGTCGTTCTTCCCTATGATAAGACGATTGCAGTAGGAGTGGACCCGCCAAATGGATGGGAATTTCACTGCTGTTGTCGGCTGGTCCCGAGTGGACTTTCGCGAAAATCAACCCTGGGGTTTGGGTCTGGTCTTGTCCTTCTTCGTCTAACTGGACGCTTTCACTTCACTGCATTTCGGATGGCCAGCAATTGCATACATCATACATACCTGGCAAGGCTCCGTAGTAAACTCCGGACAGGATCGCAGCAGGATCGAGAACCCTTTCCCCGGAGGAGGCGCATGGCAAGAGAGGCAAAGCATCGCTGTGAACCATACATGATCAAGGATTGGAATACGGAGTAAGAAGTGCGGATCTCAGAGTTTTTTTTTTTTCTTTTTTCCCCCCCTTTCCCTTGTAAACTACGTACAAAGAGGCCAAAGAGCCCCAAAAGACCGGAGAGAGACCAAGCAGACAGGGAAAAAACAAAGTTCAAATTACTAAGAATCACCAACAACTTGTCACTGTCTTCGTTTTCTTTCTTAGGGGATAATAGTCTCTAGTAAGCCTGGTCCCAGAGCGTCCTAGTGACCTACCTAGTTGTTATTCTTAGCAGAAAAACGAGGGCCTCTCGGCCTCGTTCGATCCACTTGTGCATGTAACCTATCGAGACCGTCTCGGCCTTGATATTCAATCTCACGACATCCCAGCCGGCTTATTCGCTTGCATCTTTTTCCCTTCCCTTCTCGTTACCTTTAGCTTTTGGTCCCTCGTTTCCCTCGTATACCTTTTGCATTTCCCTCTCTCTGCCCTCTTCCTCTCTCTACCTCTCTACCTTTCTTCTCCCACCTTTTCTCTCGTTAACACCTCTCTCACTCGCTCTCTCCGCATTTTCTTGCTGGTCTGCGTGGGCATCCTTCCAACCTCCCACCACCTTATCATAGCTCTCCCCGCCACTTATCAGGGCCACCCCCCCCGTCAGTTTCAGACAGAAGAAAATCACGCCCCCGACATTCGTTACGAGCTAATCTGTTCACCCCTATTTTTCTTCACACCTCACGAAGAATTTTAGACGGAATCTGTACATGACTCTCACATAGAGGCCTGCCCTCTTTCTTCCCCTCCCCCCTCCCCTTCGTCTGTTGTTGGCACAATCGCCCCGAGGGCAACAACATGAAGTGGGCATCTACTGGCTCTTTGCTGGCACTGCTCGCTTCGCGGGCAGTGGCCTGGCCTTGGAATGAGTCGTACGCCGCCTACAACTTCAATCAGAACAAAACTGCAACCAACCCTCTTGACTACTGGGGTGAATGGCCGGACCACACCGGCAAATACTTTCCGTCGCCGGACAATTGGCGGTTTCCGGTCTACACGCTGTTCCTCGATCGGTTTGTGAACGGAGATCCGACTAACGACAACATTAACGGTACACTATTCGAACATGATATCGCATCGACGCAGATGCGTCACGGAGGCGATGTGGCGGGTCTGCTGGACACTCTGGATTACTTGCAGGGCATGGGAGTTAAGGTGGGTGGCGGATTGATATCCCCCCCGGACTGTCCGGACTGATTGTGGGAGGATTGTACTGACACAATGATGTGATGCTTGCAGGGTCTCTATCTGGCGGGAACGGTGTTGATGAATCAGCCCTGGGGGTTTGATGGCTATTCGGCATTGGACACGACCTTGTTGGACCAGCACTACGGAGACCTGGAGATTTGGCGCAATGCCATCACGGAAATCCACAAGCGTGGGATGTACGTGATTTTCGACAACACGATTGCAACGTGAGTGGAGCCCGTCGGTGCATGATTTGAGTAACTTTTTATTTATCGATTGACTGATTGTTTTGTGTGCTTGCAGGATGGGAGATTTGATCGGATTTCAGGGTTACCTTAACACGACGACTCCGTTTTCGGTCAAGGAACATCCCGCCCAGTGGAAGACCGATCGGCGGTATGTGGATTTTCACATTGGCAATGACTACAACGCGACGTGCGACTATCCACGGTTCTGGTTCGAAGACGGATATCCCGTCCAGAAAACGGTGACCGACCAGCTGGTGGGCTGTTACAACAGTGACTTCGACCAGTATGGTGATGTGGAAGCGTTCGGTGTATTTCCGGATTGGGAACGTCAGTTAGCCAAATTCGCATCGGTGCAGGATCGTTTGCGGGAATGGAATCCCTCCGTGCGCGAACGGCTGATCCGTCACACGTGTATGATCATCTACCAGCTGGATATCGATGGTATCCGGTACGATAAGGCCACGCAATCGACGGTGGATGCCTTGGGCGAGATGTCGGCGGCGTATCGTGAATGCGCCCGGGCCGTGGGCAAAGAGAACTTCTTCATCTCGGGTGAAATTACGGGTGGAAATACCTTCGGCGCGATTTACTTGGGCCGAGGTCGGCAACCCGATCAAGTCCCCGACGATGCTGCCGTTGCCATGAAGCTCACCAACGAGTCCGAACCCCAGTATTTCCTGCGTGAAGCGGGGCAGAATGCCATCGATGGAGCTGCCTTCCACTACTCCATCTATCGGTCCCTCACTCGTTTCCTGGGTATGGACGGTAACTTGGCTGCTGGTTATGATGTCCCCGCCGATTTTGTCACCGCCTGGAATATGATGGTGCAAACCAATGATTTGGTCAATCCCAATACTGGTAAGTCGGCGAGCCCTAACTGCACTGCTTCAGGCTTCAAATCCCAATCAGCAATGCTAATCGTCGCCACCAACAGGTAAATTCGATCCTCGTCACATGTTCGGAGCCACCAACCAGGATGTTTTCCGCTGGCCGACCGTGAAGGATGGCGTCCAGAGACAGCTGTTGGGTCAGTATATCACGACTCTGCTGTTGCCCGGTATCCCTCTCCTGCTCTGGGGTGAGGAACAGGCCTTCTATGTCCTCGATGCGACTGCTTCCAACTATATCTACGGTCGTCAGGCCATGTCAGCCGCCACCGCCTGGCGCGACCATGGATGTTTCTCGCTGGATTCCTCGCAATACTATAACTGGCCCATCGAGGCCGGTCGGAACGGTTGCCATGATCCCACCGTCACCTACGACCACCGTGATCCCTCGCACCCGGTGCGCAACATCATCAAGCACATGTATGCGCTGCGCGAGGCCTATCCCGTGCTGAATGACGGCTATTCGGTCGTCGCCCTCTCCAACCAAACCGAACAGGTCTTTTACCGGGGTTCGAACGGCACCGCCACCGAGACCGGTATCTGGTCGGTCATGCGTGACATCAACGCGGAGGTGCAGGACTTGGGATCGAAGGCGGCCAACCAGTCGGTCTGGTTGGTGTATCACAACGTGAACCGCACCATTGACTACACCTTCGACTGCACCGACGTCAACAAGTCTCTCATCGCCCCGTATGACACTGGCAGCACGGTCAAGAACTTGTTCTATCCCTATGACGAGCAAAAGTTGATCGACAGCCCGAAGAAATTGGGCTACGGTGGTTCCACCAAGTCCAACGGCTGCTTGCCCAAAATGACTCTGGACGCCTATGCCTACCGGGCGTACGTGCCTCTCTCGGCCTGGGTCAAGCCCCGGCCGATGATCACGGGCTTCACTCCCGGGCACGATGTGCCGGTGGCATCCACTGTCCGCCCCAACGAGCAAGAAGACGTCAAGATTGCCCTGTACTTCAACGACGTCATGGACTGCACTTCCATCACCGACTCGATCTCCTTCAACTCCTCGACGGAGAGCGGCAAAGTGCCGGTCTTGGACAAGAACAGTGTCAGCTGCTCCAACACCACCCGCAACGAGACCGCCTCCGCCTGGAGTGGATACATTCCCACGACGTTCAAGTGGGAGGCCACTCTGACTGGGGTCTACAACGGTATCCATCGCCTGACGGTGAACAATGTCAGCGTGTTGAACGGCAATGAGACCACCAACTCCGTCGACCACTTCCTCATGCGTATCGGCCAAGTCGACAACCCCATGATCCACACCTCGGCCAACTACTCGACCAGTCTGTTCCATAAATACGACAATGGCACGTTCTATATTCAACACCACGCTGCGGGAGCGGACAAGTATCGGTACTCGACCAACTGGGGTACCACCTTTTCCGACTGGTTGCCGTACACGGGTGGTAACGACACCATCACCGAATCGCCCTGGTCAGGCACCAAGCGTCAGTCCTGGAAGGGTCACCACGTTCGCATCGAGTACTGGAGCCGCTGGACCGGTAGTAGTGACTATGTTCAGGAAGGCGATGCGGACTGGGATCACATGGTACCTCGGCGCTTTCCTCACATTTTCTGGAACGGCCCGTACAACGAGTATGGATACGACTCAGGTTTGGACAACGTCGTCAGCCAGGATATGGGCTCCGGACTCTGGAAATATCACTTCACGTCTGAGTGGCCGGCGGTGGCTCAACTGAACGTCTGGGGAATAAATCCCGACGGTCAACCGGATCAAAGCTGGGTGTTGGGTGACGCGGACAATGACTCGGTCCTCGACCGCATGCCCCCTTCCTCGCTCTCGGCCACGCTGATCAACATCACCAACCACCCCCCCGCAGGGTACATCTCCTGGAACGTGATCATTGACGATGCCACGATGCGCTTCCGTCTCTACCCGGTCGGTAAACAAGCCACGCAGATCGCCATGTTCGTGCTCTTCTGGATCATCCCCCCCATTAGCGGCGCCGCCTGCGTCTGGGTGTTCATGAAGTCCTTCTACAAGGTCAAGTTCAACCAGGTCGGTGTGACTGAAAAGCACAACATGATCCCCTTGGCCATCCGCCGCAAGTTCAAGAAGCGCCCTCGCGCGCCCGAGGAGAAGGAGGCGGGCGCCTTGGCGCGTCTGGCCAACAAGTCGGGCTTGTTGCAGACCAACACCCCCATCGACGGGGCGGTGGCCGGCAAGCGTCGCATGGTCCTCATCGCCACCATGGAATACGACATCGAAGACTGGCAGATCAAGATCAAAATCGGTGGTCTGGGTGTCATGGCTCAGTTGATGGGCAAGACGCTCGGTCACCAGGACCTCATTTGGGTGGTTCCTTGCGTCGGTGGTGTCGATTATCCGGTCGATACCCCTGCGGAGCCCATGAACGTCACTATTCTGGGTAACTCGTACGAGGTGCAAGTGCAGTATCACACTCTTAACAACATCACCTACGTGTTGCTCGATGCCCCTGTCTTCCGCCAGCAATCCAAGTCCGAGCCCTATCCCGCGCGTATGGATGACCTTAACAGTGCTATTTATTACTCTGCTTGGAATCAGTGTATCGCCCAGGCTTGCAAGCGGTTCCCGATTGATCTCTACCACATTAACGATTACCACGGTTCCTTGGCTCCTCTGTACCTTCTGCCCGAGACTATTCCTGCGTGTCTTTCCCTCCACAACGCTGAGTTCCAAGGTCTGTGGCCTCTGCGGACCACTATTGAACGTGAGGAAGTGTGCAAGGTCTTTAACTTGAGTCTCGATGTCGTCCGCCACTACGTCCAGTTCGGTGAAGTGTTCAACTTGCTGCATTCCGGTGCTAGCTACTTGCGCGTTCACCAGCAGGGTTTCGGTGCCGTCGGTGTCTCAAAGAAGTACGGTAAGCGGTCCTATGCGCGTTACCCCATTTTCTGGGGTCTCCGCAAGGTCGGCAACCTCCCCAACCCGGATCCTTCGGATGTTGGCGAATGGAGCACGGAGCAGGCCAAGGCCATGAGCGGCGATATCGCAGTCGACCCGTCCTACGAAGCTGGCCGTGGAGATCTTAAGCGCCAGGCTCAGGAGTGGGCTGGTCTCACTGTGAACCCGGATGCTGATCTGCTGGTTTTCGTCGGTCGGTGGTCGATGCAGAAGGGTGTCGATCTGATTGCCGATGTCATGCCTGGTGTTTTGGAGGCCCATCCCAACGTACAGGTGATTTGTGTTGGTCCTGTGATTGATTTGTACGGAAAGTTTGCCGCTCTCAAGCTTGACCATATGATGAAGATCTATCCCGGCCGTGTCTTCTCCCGCCCCGAATTCACCAGTCTGCCGCCGTATATCTTCTCCGGAGCCGAATTCGCCCTGATTCCCTCTCGTGACGAACCCTTCGGTCTGGTGGCCGTCGAGTTCGGTCGTAAGGGTGCTTTGGGTATCGGTGCCCGTGTCGGTGGTCTGGGCCAGATGCCTGGTTGGTGGTACAACGTCGAGTCTACATCCACTTACCACTTGCTTCACCAGTTCAAGCTGGCCATTGACGCCGCCCTGAACTCGAAGCAGGAGACGCGTGCCATGATGCGCGCTCGGTCCGCTAAGCAGCGTTTCCCCGTGGCCCAGTGGGTGGAAGACTTGGAGATCCTGCAAACGACGGCTATTCAGGTCCACAACAAGGAGAGGAGCAAGACCAATGGTCGCCCCGTGACCCCCTCGGCCAGCAACTTCGCTCTGGCTCCGCCCCCAGCCAGCCCTATGTTGGCCCCTGGCATGCAGACTCCTACCACTCAGTCCCGGGAGAGCAGCTATGCCAACCTCAACCGGCTCAGTGAGTATGTCGCCACCTCCGAGAACACCGAAAAGCCCGCCTCTGGTCTGCAGCGTAAGCTGTCCCTGGGTTACCGCTCTGGTCCCGGTCATCGGCCGCGGGCTCAGCGTGCCGATCCCCAGACCGAGAATATCGCCGAGGCGGAGGAAGCAGGAGACGAGACCGATATCGAGCATGATCCTCAGGACGACTTTGGTGACGATGAGTACACTCTCAACCACGCTGAACTGGAGGAAGCACGCCGCCTGCAGGCTGCTCGTCAAACCGGGGCTCTGGTTCCCGCCAGCCCTGGCTTCCCCCACAACAGTTTGGTCCCCTCCAGCCCTGGCACGCCGCCGACTGCCTCTCAGACTTTGCTGCCTCCCCCGTCTTTCAACGAGGCCAGCAACCGTTTGAGTAGCGCCTCTCTGCTCTCCCTCGACTCCGTCGTCGGTGGCAAGAAGGACTTCAAGCTGCAGAAGGTCGATCCGTTCTTCACTGATAGCACCGGCGAGTACTACAACTCGTTCGACAAGAAGCTCGAGGACCTGAACGGCGAGAATTCGGAATCGCAGTTCTGTATTGAGGAGTATCTCATTCAGAGTGAAAAGGAATGGTTCGACCGCTTCCGCGATGCCAAACTGGGTCGCTTCAAGTCGCCCACCCCGTCCATCTTCCGCGACAAGCACGGCGCCTCCCCCATGGGCTCGTACAACGACGAAACTGGCTCGCGCATGAGTGCCAGCAGCAATGAAGACTCCCACGAGACCGACGATGAGTTCTTGCTCGGCAAGGACTACGTGCCACCCACTGGATTGAGACGGTGGATGCAGATCCGCATTGGTGACTGGCCCATCTATTCAATCTTCCTGTCTATCGGTCAGATCATTGCCGCCAACTCGTACCAGGTCACCCTGTTGACGGGCGAGGTGGGTCAGACTGCCGAGAAGCTGTACGGAATCGCTACGACCTACTTGATCTCCTCGATCTGCTGGTGGCTGATTTACCGCTACTTCAAGTCCGTCGTCTGTCTCTCTGCCCCTTGGTTCTTCTATGGTCTTGCGTTCCTGCTTATCGGGTCCGCCCACTGGGACAGCAACGAGTTCAACCGTGGCTGGATTCAGAACGTCGGTAGCGCGGCCTATGCGGTTGGATCGTCGAGTGGCTCTCTCTTCTTCGCCTTGAACTTCGGTGACGAAGGAGGAGCGCCGGTCGAAGTCTGGATCTTCCGGGCTTGCTTGATTCAGGGCATTCAATCCGCCTACGTGATCGCTCTCTGGTACTGGGGATCGACCCTGACCAAGGCGTCCAGCGCCGGCCTCCTGACCAGCACCAACAACATCGCCAACTCGTGGAAGATGACCGCCATCTGTTACCCGATTGCCATTGTCCTGTGGGCGGTGGGCGTCTTCTTGTACCTCGGACTGCCCAACTACTACAACCAAGTCCCTGGTAAGGTCGCCTCGTTCTACAAGTCGGTCTTCCGCCGGAAGATTGTGCTCTGGAACTTTGTCGTCGTTATCCTGCAGAACTTCTTCCTGAGTGCCCCGTACGGTCGCAATTGGGGCTTCCTGTGGGGATCGGCCCACGCCCACGGCTGGCAGATCGTTATCCTCTGCATTGTCTTCTACGGCATCATCTGGGCAGCTTTCTTGTTCGTGGTCAGCCGCTATTTCAAGGCACACAGCTGGTTCCTGCCGGTGTTTGCTTGTGGATTGGGTGCTCCTCGTTGGGCGCAGATCTGGTGGGGAGTGTCCGGTATCGGCTACTTCCTGCCCTGGGTGACTGGTGGTTATACCGGGGGTGCTCTTGTCTCTCGCAGTGTCTGGCTGTGGCTGGGTGTCCTGGACTCGATCCAGGGTCTGGGCTTCGGTATCATTCTGTTGCAGACGCTCACCCGGTCGCACATGCTGTTCACCCTGATCTGCTCGCAAGTGCTGGGTTCCATTGCGACCATCTGCGCGCGTGCCTTCGGCCCTAACAACGTCGGTCCTGGTCCCATCTCGCCCGATCCAACCTTCGGTGCCAGTGCTGTGGCCAACGCCTGGTTCTGGGTTGCTTTGTTCTGTCAGCTTCTGATCTGCGCCGGTTTCTTGCTCTTCTTCCGCAAGGAACAGCTGGCCAAGCCTTAATTTTCTTTTCTGTTATTCCCTCCTGACGACATGCCTCCTATCTGTTGACGCCATGACGTCGCGAATCCGATCCCTCCATGTACATCTAATGATCTGTATAGACGTTTTAGCCTATCGGCTGACATATAATTGCGTTGCCTGAGGTCCCAGTTGGGTCTAGTCGGGGTGTTCTTTTCATTGTCGTTCCTGTGTGCGTCTTTTTACTCTTGTCTTGCTTCTAATCACCCAAGCGCGTTAAGGGTCCCCCATATATACATGTATATATACTGCGCACCATCACTACAATTGATACCCAAATACATCTTGTGTTCAAGACTAGTTTTTTTCTCGTCCCGTTACACCGTAAGATTATTTATCGTAGGAGGGTGGCAGCGTGGGTGGCATTCGTATTCCTTTGTCCGCCAGCTCAGAGTCATCCGACCATGGCATTCGTCGAGAACGAGCCGTTTTCAGATATCCTGTGGTTGTTTGAAATATTCCCCCTCCTGTACGTGATGGCGTTCTTGAGAGGGGTGGTCGGCGTTGACATTTGAGTCGCTGAGACATTCGCCGACCAACGTGCCAGCCGGACTTGTCCCGGTCGCAAATGACCAAAAGAGGGTTAACGTGGAAATCGAGGGTCGATATGTCCTTCTGAGAGTCGGTATTAACTGTAGTCGCCTTTTGACCGCATCAGCAGATGTGTTGGGTTTTATGTCATGGTTGGTGAAATTGGATGATACCGGGCCCGTTGTTTGTCCTCAGACATGCTGGTATCTAGTGAGGGTTACTGGCAGAACACTAGGCGCCCACATACCTATCTTTCGGTATTTAACCTCATCTACTGGTCGCTGGAAGAAACCACTGCTCCAGATACGTGTCAATCAACTCCCACTGCCCCGGCTGACACGCCATAGCAAGGTACAAATCCGATCGAACGAGCACCAGTCGGCCACCAGGCGGAATCTCATAGCGCGAGACAAACTCCGTTCCGGCATCGCAGCAGTGATGATCAAAGTCGAAGCGAGAGTCCGTCTCGCGACTGATGAGGATGGTGGCCACCTGCCCGGGAAACTTGGAGTCGATCTGCGTCCGCAGCTTGACGCCAGTATCAATGACCCAGCCGGGATCATCCGTGCCACTGACTACGAGTAGGGTAAATTGCGGCCGGCGGTAGAGGTCGTAGAGCCGTCTGCGCGGCTGGTCGACGAGGATCGCATCTGGGGCTCTTTCCCCCGGTTTGGGGCCAGACACCGGGGTCAGCCCTGGTGGAAGCACTGTGACATCGCGGTAGTTGTGCGACAGGCCCGAGACCAGGTGCGTCGTGCGCGCTTCCCAGTCGGGGGTCTGGGTGAGAGCCAGTCGGTCTTCCGGGGGGATCCCAAATCCCATCACGATCTTGTGCGTGGCAGCAGCACCTTGGCTGACCTGTTCGCCGATCGGCTTGCGTTCTCTCTCGTAGGTGTCGAGGATCTGCTCATCGGCATGGCCCTTGACGACGGCGGCGAGCTTCCACCCCAAGTTGAACGCATCCTGCATGCAGCAGTTCATGCCTTGCCCCCCGGCTGGGGAGTGGACATGGCACGCGTCGCCGCAGATGAGGAGACGGCCAGCGCGATATCGCTCGGCGATGTGGTTGCGAACGGTCCATGCGGTGACCCAGGCTGGTTTGCCAACCTGAAAGCCAGTGCCCAGCTGGTCGGCCACCTCCTGGTAGGCCTGTTGCTGGTCTTCTCGATGGACATAGTCGCCCGTCGGATCGCTCATGTACATGCGCCAGTACTTGCCCGGCATCTTGGTGCAGTTCATAAAGAGGTCCTTGTTGAAGAAGTAGTTCATCCATCGATCGTCGAAGGTCACGTTCGTGAGCTCGACGTCCATCTGCAGTCGTCAGCGAAGTCTAGCATTCCATGGACTCGACCCTGGACACTGAACACTGAGCAGGAGAGAAGGGCATCCTACCATACCCATCACCCCGACATTCTTTCCCTCGAACTTGATTCCAGCCGCATCGCGAACGGTACTGTGCACCCCATCACACCCAACTATATATCGGTATCGAGACTCTTCCACCCGTCCGTCCGCCAAGCGAATCCGAGCTATGACCCAGTCCAGGTCGGATTGAGCCTCAACCAATGCAGTAGAATACTCCGGTTGCACGGTGTAGTGGGAGAAGAGATGCTCACGGAGCACCTGCTCGAAGTCATTCTGGCTGATCTTATAGTAGAAGGGAAACCGGGTGGGGAGCACGCGGTAGTCGGTGCGCGGATAGTCGGCTTCGGCGAGCCCGGGAAATCGATATAGGTTTCCTGGGCACTCGAGACAGATTGCCTCGAGGCGCGAGGCCATGCCCATATGGTCGAACATCTCCATGGACCGCGCGTGGACGGTCATTGCGCGGCTGGTGTGGGAAGGGCTCCTGCGTTTCTCCACAATGCGGACGGGGATCTGCCGGCGCAGGAGTTCGTGCGCGAGGAGAAGGCCGGATGGCCCACCCCCGACGATGAGGATCTGGTTAGATATTGAGGACATTCTGGGGTGCAATGCCAGACTGGGCTGGGTCCTGACATGACGTGGTCATTCCCGGAGGGGGAAGAAGGAGGAGGAGGAGTCCTGTTTAAATAGCCATCGCGTGCAAGGACTTCAGCTAGGCGATAGTCGTGCTGTTATAGTCAGCTGACAGTAAGCCGTCTTACAGATTCCCCTTGAACAGTGACAGGATCAGTGAGGCTGTCGCTGACCGACTGCGATATGAAGCGGGGTAAGAAGCGGGGGATCATGCATCTGTCGCTGCAGGCATCAGACTGGGGATACTATTCCCTGCCCCAATGGTACTCAGAACTATTCTTCCGGTGAAAACTGCCTCTGATGTGCGTAGGGAGGGCTGCATTCTATAGCCGTAGCTGACACCTGGGTCACAGCCTTGTTGAAGCCCCGGTCCTACTTAACTCATAATTCTTCAGAGCATCAAGCTTCACAAGGACGAACCCGTCGACTATCAGAGCGTCTGGGGGAGTTGAAAGTCTCCCGATAAGTGTGCCTGTCACGCACACTCTGACTCCGTCGTGGAACACCCTGTGAAGTCGAGCCAGAAGCCGCGAAAGCAATCAAGCACTTCTATTCCAAATTTCAACCATTAGAACAGTCATCTTCAGGTATTATCCCGTAAGCCTTTTCCCTTTGATTGCCATTTATCTCTTCAAGGGTTGGAACATTGGCTAGGGCAAGTCCGGAACAAGCATCAACGGGCTGGGAGCATCCGATGAACACACGTATACACGGTAGATTTACACCGGTCGCAAATCAGCATCTATGGTCCGATCTTGCTGAAAGAAGTTTTCCTCAAATGAAAACGACAAACTCACTCAGGTTATGAAGTTTGTTAACTCTAATGCTCTGTTTGGAAAAGAAGTAACAAATTCTGTGAGCGGGGGTACAACACTACGGTCGCCTCCGACCGAGACGGTCCATGCTGCAACTACCATCACAACAATTCAGTCAATCAAAGGTACACGCTTAGGATCGAAGGCCGTAGCCACTGGAATGAGCCATTGCCTAGTCTAAAGGCCACATCGATCAACTTGACGAGACTGATGCGCTCACAAAGTACAAGGTATGCTCGATTGCGATGCAGCGGAGTCCGACCAACCATCTTCGCCTTTGGGAGCAATTCGAGCATAAGCTAAGACCAAACACATCCTCCAGTTGATTGAACCGGATATATGCCATTGCGAGACAGCAATTGGTGGCTTTAGATGCATGGTCTGGACCCGGTGAGATGAATCCAACCTGGAGTTGTCAACCAGGCATCATCCAGATCCATCGAATCGATTACGCAACGATGAGAGGCACGACTCAACAATTCCCGGCTGTGCTTCTCGAACAAGATCCCAATGATCGGCGGTGAAATCAACCGCACCTGATCGAGGATTCAAGGAAGATCGACGCAGCTCAGGGGTTTTCAGGATCAATTGGGGAGGCCATGTCTCAATAAGCTTGTTTAGCCTGGCGATAGGGGCCGATCTCGGCCAGTCACAACGCAGCGGGATTCGAGCCGGCCATCGATCGATCGGGACGGAGAGGAGAGAGCTGGGGAAAGATTGAGGAAAGCTGGAACCCTAACTTGATCAATTCAATGATGATTCACTCTCACATCATTTGAGCTAGCTGGGAATATGCACACTCGGAGCACGAGTACAATGATTATGCCAGTCTGCAGAGAATGGCGCAACAAGTGGCGAGATATCGTAACGGCGATGTCATTCCCACGCACTGTCCAAATGACCGCATAGACGCTCTTGTATGACCTCACCTTGACATTTGCTCCCCGACCACGCCCATTAGAAATCTCTATAAAGAGGCCCTCGAATCCAGCATCAACCACTTTCTCATCAGCAACAATCTTCTCCATGACCATCAAGCACCTTATCCACAAACCGATTTTCCAATCCCGCATTTCAATCGCCCGATTCTCCTCCCAATCGATCAAAATGGCCGACAAGTACAAGCCCTCTGGTACGCCCACAATTCCTCTCATTTCTTGACCATCTCGACCCAAGCAACAATCACTAATTCCAGCAGAGCACGGTGGTCTCCGCGAGGACGGCCAGCCCGACAAGCGCACCCAGCAGTCCCAGTTCGCCTACGGCAAGGTTGACCCTCACAAGGCCGGTCAGGAAGGAGGCTCCATCGGCGGCCAGGCCACCGGCAGCCACAGCGGTGGCAGCGCCAAGGGCGAGTTTGCCCATGGCAAGGTCGATCCTCACGAGGCCGGCAAGAAGGGCGGCAGCACGCTCGGTGACGAGTAGACCAAGCATGGCTCACGATGTGAAACGACCTGGAACATGACATGACTCTCGAATACACGATCAGGGATCGATACATGTAATTTAGTGAATCTCATGACTTGAGAATTCGATTTTTGCACTCATGCCTCTTAGTCTAGTGTAGACAATTGTAGACACGATCGAATAATATAGCCTCCGCATTTCAGTCGCATGCAGGTAGGCTGAGTCAGGTCACAATCGAGCTGTGGAAAGACAGGCGGTGCATCCGTAGAAGTTACCCATCCATACAAGACACTAGTTATCTTGTTAGAACGAATAATATATATATATATGTCTAAGAAGTGCCAATAGGTAGGCACCGAGAAAAGAAGTGGATTTATAGTATAAGGAAAGGACCCCAATGTGCTAAGTATAGTACAAATGGATGGTAAAGCCCATCCTCTCCCACCTAACCACCATAAATAGCCAACCAAACAAAATACGTATTTATTTAAATGGTAGCCCTGGCCCGAGACACGCATCGGCATGCTCGAAGTACCAATGGTGTGCATCAATTGCCAGCAGATTCGGAATTCCAAGTCCGGTATTGCCCTTGATGCTATCCCCGTCGGCATACACGACGACCCGACTGGTTGAGACGGTCGAATTGTCCGGGGCAGTGATCACATTCGGGGCTGATATGTGCATAGCCCATGAATTGTAGAGGTAGATTGGGCACGGGGTCGTCCGTGTGTGTGAAGCGATAGTTCGTGCCCTGGTTCTGGTCCTGTTGGGTCGTGATATACTTGGCTAGGACCGGGTTGGCTACACGGGGCGATGCAAAGGCGTACAGCGTGGCTTTCTCGCCCTGGTGTCGTAGATCTGCTGCGGCGAGGGTCGCGATAGCCGCGCCCAGACTATGTCCGACGACTACAAGTTCATATACCGGGTTTTGGGCGCGGGCGCTGGTAAGGGCTGCAGTCACATTCTCCCGCACGTTGGTCCAGGAACTCCAGAACCCAAGCACGGCTTGACAGCCGGTGCAAAGATGAGGATCCGCGTAAAAGAACGTTGCGTCGCTAAGCCAGTTGCGTAGGGAGTAGGAGCCTCGGAATGAGAGGATGATGGCCTCATGGGCGTGGTCGAGTGCGAGGAAGCCGGCAGTGTCTGTGGCAGTGGTGCTAACCGCCAAATAGCAGGCCAGACATACTTGGAGAAGTCCAGCAGAAACGTGGCATTGGCGGCCTCAACTTGGGGACAGTTGCCCGCCCAACAGGTCAGCTTGTGGCCTATCTGGGAGATGTAGTTGGACTCGCAGTAAGCAGCGGCCGCATACTGAACCCAAAAGTTGAAGGAGCTCAGGGCATCGGAGGTGATTGTGGTTGGCGAATCCCTTTGCTGTTGCTGGGGGAGTGCTTTACATGCAGGGATCGCAGAAAGTGCCGCAACAAAATATTTGTAGAGATACATGACTGCTGCTCCGGGGAGCCCTCATTTTCAGAGCCCTGGGAGTCCAAGGAAGGATATATGGGCTGTTCGTCTCGTTCTCGGATCGGACTAGTGGCATGCTGATCGCAGACTGGAATGCGCAAAGTTGGGGCAATCGAACCGGTGGGACGAGCCGAGATCGGGTGCTTTTAACCAGTCCGATCTCAAGCCAGCGACGATCATCTCCAAATCTCCACGTGGGAGGATTTCTTTCCCGGCAATTGCTCAACAGCCCCTTTTGCAGGCTTTTCTGGGGCCATTGTGGTGGGGTGGTATCTCAGCATGTCTAACCAGCAAACTATAGTAAGGGGGGGAATTCGAGTTGAAAAGTCACCAAGATTCTTCTTCGAACCTATTAGAGCATGGGCTGCACCAGTCCAAAGAAAGCAAGGGACGATAAAATCAGAGAAGATAATGAAGCATGGAGCACTGCCCGAGGTTCAGTCTATTTGGCAATATGGAACAGAGGTAGGAACAGCAGGTAGGAACAGAACTTGTTAATCAGCACAGCATTCCGTGCCATAAATATAGACAGTGCTCAAGGAGTGTAACGGATTTGATCAGATGTGTGCGAATGTCCTGTCCTTGTCAGCATGCTCTGTTCAATCGAATTATCAAGAGGACGGAATTCGGATAATTCTACCTTGAGCTTAACTAAAGCGCAGAAATGACATTATTCAGTTAGGTTCAAGAATGGGTCGCGAGATCACGCTTGACGTACGTAAGATTGGAATGATTTTTTCATATTTGAAGTTCTTCATCAGCCAGATAGTTCGCCCCAACGGCCAGTGAATAACATGTGGAAGACTGACTCTACATCATATGCTAATGTGCTAGGTGGTACATCTGGAGCTCATCCAACTTGCCGTGTGGTGGACTTATTCTTTCTGAGGAACACATCACTTTCGTAGAGTCGGATTCAAAAATTGACATGCTACCGGGCTAACCGTGAGCAACCTGTCCATCAAACTGAGTATCCATCTATTCGCGTAACCGAGCCGACACCAAAGGGCTACCATCGACAATGCGTGAGAAGTCATGGGCATCCAGGCACGCCTGTCGAGAGTTGAGGACACTGGGCTCTGCTCGGGTGAGAACGTCGGATTCATATACCGCCAGACATTCGCGGAGGGTGTTGGTGGTGAGGGATCTATACGGATCAATCAGTAAGCCTCAATACCGACATGCATACCAACACAAATCAATGCTGGTCACTCACCCCATAGACTTTAAGTCCACTCTCTTTGTAAAGTCCAGTACATCCACGATGGCATTGTTTGCTCCTTCCCCACGGACTAAGATGACCCCTGTCAGCTGGGAATGTTGCGACGGGGAGAAACAAAGTGACAAGACATACACATCGTCATGGTATGAGCAGAGTCGCCCATTAGCACCACCCTAGGGTGAAGAGGATTGGGGTCTGGTCGGAACAGCCAGTCGGCAATCCGGATCGACCGGACTTCGGTGCTCTCAGGCAAACGATGAACCAGGCCCTTGAATGGCTCCGCCCAGTTGGCAGTCAATGACTTCATCAACGCAATCCGTTCTCCATTGTTGCTAGGCACCGGGATTCGTTTGGCATCCGCCCAGGATATGATGATCTGACACAGATACTTGTCCTTGCTACTTTCTTCGAAGTTATTAGGGGTATCGAGCACTGAGCGTATTGCAGGAGATTAGCAAGCTTCTACCAGAAGAAAGTGCATACAAATGAACATGCCAGCTACCTACAGCTGAAGAAGAAAAACACGTTTGTATCTGGGTGTGACCCCTGAAAAATGAATGGATCGAATGACTCCGCCCCAGCCATCTCCTCCGGGGAATAAAGGGCAGCTCCGCCGAGAAGCTGGACGGGGAGGGGATTCATCTCGTGCCCCTCGGGGTAGAGAATCTCGCGTGTTCGGGAACGCGATCCATCGCAGCCGATCAGTATACAGCCCGTGTATGAGGTTCCATCGTGGAAATATGCAGTGACACTCCCGCTTGTGGAGTCGATGTTCTGCAGAGTCTTGTTCCACTGGATGGTAAGGTCCGTGGCCAGCAGTTGTCTTAATCGTACTCGACTGACGCGGATTCGTTCTGCTGCCGGGACGCTATACAACGCCGATCCCGTCTGGAGTTCGAAAAACTGAAAGTGTCCGGTGTCTCCACGCGCGGCGGCTGCTTTGTTCACATATGTCTCCGGTAGCCGGGCCACGAGGTGCTCAGGCAGAAGCTCGCGCAAGGCAGGCAGAGCCCAGTGCAGCGTGAGCCCCCAACCACCACTGCGTGCGTCGATCGAAGCGTCTTGCTCAAAGAGGCGATAGGGAATGTTATGCTGGTGTAGATACTGAGCTAGGAGGAGGCCGCTGATGCCTGCTCCAGCGAGAAGAATGGGAAGATCAGCCATGGGGGGCGACGAAGACGCACGCACTGAGCTGGGTGCGCGGGGGAAGATCCTGCTCATCCTTTGCTTTTGACCCTACCGACTGACAGCCGGCGGACCTCGGTGGCATGGTTCTGCGGTGGAACCACGACAGTTAACGGTCTGCATATCGAAGGAGAATGATAGGATGGACAGGGTATTGCGTGTCTCTGACTAATTTGTGTTGGTGGCATCGAATAGAGAAAGGCACCGCCGATCATCATGCGTTCGAGACATTAGGTAAAGGGAAAGCATTCGATAGGTAGGGATGTCTTGCCTTCATTTATTTTCAAGTCGCCGTTTGCAGGGGTCAACTTGCCATGGATCCTGAGGGATCAAACCAATGCGATTTTGTGCCACTCGCACCCCGACGGGTAAAATATTTTCGGTCATCACCGACCGGTCGATCCACTGGACTCGGCGAAATAGCCTTTGGCCGCCCATGAGCCTAACGAAGTTTGAGCCTGCGGAATGCTGCCGGCTGGGGCCGCGCACGGGACGGTGTCAACCCCGAGCATTAGCCCTGAGTCCGTCGGCTGCTGGTGGATGCTGTCACTTACGACGCCAGCAAGGGGAGTGGAGAGGCGTGAAAATGACCTTAACTCGGCCCCTCCTCGGGGAATCTCCAACGCCTTCCGATCGAATGGCAAACGCTTCACGCAAATGCTTAAAGCACCCTTGACAGTAGTCTAGCCAGTCCGTGCCGTGACTTGCCGTCAGCACTGACTGGGTAGTTAAGTGGGTACGGGTCTCAACCCTGCTTTAGTTCTGCCCCCTGACAAACCCTTTCCCAATCCTTATTTGCAGCGACGACACCAAATATTGACAGGGTTCAGAGCTATCAGAAAATTCGGTCTTCCCCGACTGCTACGTGATTAATTTACACAAAGAAAATCTCAAACGGCGGATGGCGTCGGAAGCCGTGAGGATCAATACTGAAAATGGCCATCCTCAGCGCTCTTTCGTGGACTTCTCCTCCAAAGAGACTCGCAGCTCCACCGTCATATGAATCCCTCCTTCCTCAGGACCCCCACTTTCCAGGATCAGCTCCTCACTGGGAGTCCGTCTGGTGCGCGGTGGTGCCGCTGAGGTTGTCGAACGCAGCTGGGAGCGTTGGTCTTTGGACCAAGACTGTAACGCGTAGCTTCGCCCATCATAATGCTTCCGGTCGCTGTGCGATCGAAAATCGCGCACAGCGCCCTTCAGCAGAGGGGCAAGGAATGGAATGCACGTCACGATATTCTAGGCTGGTCAGTAAAGCGGATCTCTTGTAAATTCGAGACAACTGACCCCGACGTTAAATTCAATGGTGCCCCAAAGGACCAACATCGTCGAATTCCCATCTCCATGGGCAATCCGGTGAATCTGAGTTAGTCGGAGAATGGAGCAGATGGTCGTAAAAAGCCCAAGGAGGAACAGACACACCACTCCAGCTTTCTGAGCAGGCTTGATGTTGAGCTGCAGGAGCAAAGGGATGGGGAGGATGATGATCATAACATCGCAAATAATGGTAAATGCCGCGAGTCCATAGAATGTCGGGCCAGAGGGCAGACACGATCCGGATATTGTAGGGTTCCAGGCCCGTTCAACCTTCTTCAGAGTCAATATCATATGATTCCAGCCTTCTGTGGGACTTAAAATCGCCCACCTACCGGGTGACAGTTGAAAATCAGGACCAATGCTCCCGCAATGTGACCCACGGTGGAGAGAGTAATGGTGACCCAGATCAGGATTCGAAAGAGTGTTTTTGATGTCCCGGAGATCAGGCGCAGGTAATTGAGGCACAACGAAGCCTTGAACCCAGCGATACCAACTTGGTAGAAGGGCCGACCGGCATAGTTGAGCTTTCAGACCATTCATCAGCTTGGTGCGCATAGAATGCTTGCTGGCATTGTTTGGCAAGTAGACATACCTTGGTGTATTGCGACAGATCCTCCTTCGGTCGTAATTTCAAGGGAAGCCCTAGGCCGTACCTGCTTTCTATCAAGGTCAGTTTGCTCTTGATCGACTAGTATTGGAAATCAAAGTCACTCACGGGCGATACATAGTGCACTATAGATGATACTAAAGATCTGTTCCAGGTCAGCGGTTGGAAGTAGTACCAACGCGGCACGCTTACCATAGTCACCACCATCACATAGTCGGAGGCCTCCAAGCGACGAGCATGATAGCGAATGGTCAGGCGCAAGCAGACAATGAGAACCATAGACAGCGTCAAGCTCAGACACACCCCAAGTATCAGACGGTATTGCGACTCCGCTTCAACCTCGGGCGAGGCATGGTGCACCCAAGTCATGATCGAAAGAGCTGCAAAGAATCAACCAGACATGGAAAGAGACTGTAAGAACTAAACATGAGAAAATCGGGTAGTCACACTGGCTGTGTGTTCACAGAAATGTTAACCATGATTAAGGCTCTGGCCGCATAGGGGTTTGGAGGCGAAAGGACCCCTGCGAAGAAGCCGGTATTCCTTCAGTAATTAAACTACTTCTATTCAGTCCACAGTATGGGCTAGAATTGACTGGTAAACGGAGCAGAACACGGATTAAATGCCTGCAGGGATTAAACCAGACCAAGTTGCAAAAAGTTGGCGTGACTGGTTAATTTATTCATCATGCAATTTCCGAGTCTGGATGAGCTGGTGGCACAAATGCCCAATCTCTGCGTAACAGTAACCCGCACTAAATAATTTTCCTTTTAGTCCCCTCTTTTCCCCTGGTTTGAGAACCAAAATTGCTTTTTCTCCTCGTTGCCTGATCCCAAATCAAGATGGAGGACAAACAACCCGTCTCCCACACCTTGCCTGCAGATCGCACCGACGATGCGGTGGAATACCTCCAGGGCCACACGGCCAGATCTGATACCTCTGAGGTCGATCTTCGCGCCCTGCGTCGCAAGATAGATTTTCGTCTCATACCTTTCATGTTTTGCTGCTATGTCTTGCAATTTCTGGACAAGGTGATGCTGAACTATGCCGCCGTGATGGGCATGAAGAAAGATCTCGGTCTGGTGGCCAACGAGTACACCAATACCGCAACTTGGTTCTTCCTGGCCTATCTGATCGCCGAGGTACCCAACAGTCAGTGCCCCTTTCTTGCGAATGCGGACCTGCTTAAGCTGAACCCTGCTTACCCACTATGTTCTCTTCTCCAGCCTATTGTCTACAAAAAGCCCCCGCAGCGAAATGGCTGGGAGCCAATGTCACCCTGTGGGGCGTCGCCGCGGCCGCATCTGCTGGAGCCAAAGACTACCCAACTCTCTTGACTGCGCGTGTGTTCCTGGGTATCTTCGAGGCAACAATCGGCCCGTCGCTCATGCTCATCAGCAGTCAGTACTATACTAAAAGCGAGCAGGCCCCTCGGTTCACCTTCTGGTACAATGGACTGGGGGTGGCACAAATCATTGGCGGATTGGTTTCGTTTGGCTTCCAGCATGTTGAGCACGCAACAATGGCCGGATGGCGCATCATGTTCCTCGTCATCGGGTTGGTCACGGTCGTCATCGGGGTGCTCACCTTTATCCTCATCCCTGACACTCCCATGAAGGCAAAGTGGCTGTCTGATGACGAGAAGGTCGCTCTCTTACAGCATGTCAGCGTGAATCAGACGGGGGTTTGGAGCCGCAAGTTCAACTTCAAGCAGATCTGGGAGGCCGTTCTTGATCTCCAACTCTGGCTGCTAACCCTGATCACAATCCTGGTAAGGTCTACTACCTCCTACCTTCTTACACCATTGTTCACTGGGGCTAATTCCTCGCGCAGATCTCGGTGTCCAGCGGTGTTGTGACATCCTACTCCGCTACCCTGATTGCAAGCTTTGGCTACCCTGGTCCCATCTCGGCACTGCTTAATATGCCTTCCGGGGTGGTCAGCATCTTCTTTACCTTGTTGGTGGGACTTGGTATCCGCAAGACGTCTCACCGCTGGGCCTGGAATGTCCTTTGCACGATTCCCGGTATCATCGGGGGCGCTCTGCTGTCGTTCCTCCCCAAGAGCAACAAAGCCGGCGTCCTGATTGGAATTTACCTGGTCAACGCTATTGTGGCGACCCTACCAATTTTATATCAATGGACTATGGCCAATTGTGCTGGACACACCAAACGCGCGTTCAGCAGTGCTCTTGTGGCCGGATCGTTCTCGGTCGGAAACATTATTGGGCCGCAAACATTTCAGGCGCGCGATGCTCCCGAGTACCGGCCGGCAAAGATTGCTGTTCTCGCGACGCAGGCAGCCGCAGCAGTGATGTCAGTGGTGTTGTTCGTGTATTATGTCTGGGAAAACCGGAGGAGAGATCGCAAGCACGGGAAGATTGAGGGCGCGATGGTAGACGAGGCCAAGTGGGCAGGGCTGACCGATAAGCAGAACAGTCAGTTTCGATATGTGTATTGAGGTTGCTGCTGGTTGGGAGAGCCCAACTAACACGATTGATTCTCTCATCATACATGATAGTCTACCTGAGCAACCAACTACGTAGAATGAACACAGGCTGAGGCTACACTCTTCCTGATTAGACAAGACAAGCGCTTAACGCCTCAGGCCACAGTCGGGCTGTGTCACGTGTCATGATAGCCGAATCATTCCAGGCTGTTAGTATGCTGACATGTGTACATTATGAGTTCACTATTATCATACCGCCAAGCCAACTGGGCAAACCAGGGATAAGCACCCGTGACTCCTAGCCAGGGCTCTGCTACAACCACAGCCCCGGACTTCCGACGGGTGAGTAACTAAAGAACACGAGCTGACTGACAGCCACAGACAAGAAGTGTGAGTCAACCATGGATGCATGAGGCTATAGGGTTGTGATTTCTAAGACGCACCCTATCAGAATTTGACCCCCATTCTGACCTTGCATGAAGATCATTGCACTTCCGTCCCCCTATTGGGTACAAACTCTTATCATCTTTCGCGCTTGAGCCGCTGGGTGTGCTCTGAACGCAAAGTACGGCAACAAAATACCGATAAGGTAAGTCCAGACCCGATCAGCTATGAGTCAAATTCAATACATTCAAGCGCAAGGCTTGCGCCATCGCGGCCGGGAAAGACGCTTTTGATGATAATCGCTTCCACCGCCCGGCTCGTTGAACTCTTGGATTCTTTTCTTCCCTCCCCGACAGGACGATACAAAGATGCTCTCAAACTCCTCGGTGTCTCTGATAGTGGGCGCAATTAGCGCCTTGTTGGCGAGTCTGCTAATTGTTCCTGCAGTCAAGAGCATCGTTGCGCGTGGTAGCTATACAGCATTGGAGCAGGATGAATCTCTCGTCGCAAAGATCGTATATCGTGATGAGGACGGTCATGCCACGGGGGAGTCTCTACGCAAATTTTCCGACAGGTGGCAGCGTGTCGCTCTCGTCATGTTCTCGATAACTGGGATCCTCGCGACACTGGGACTCGGGACACTCACAACGGTGAGAGATGACGCGAGTAACGCGGTGCTCGCATGGTTTCAGTTTGCCATTTGGGTATTCGCCGTCCTCGTGAAGAAAGAGCGAGAATTAGATATGCTGACACCAACTTCGACTTAGATATTACTGTGCCTGCAGGGGGCCACCTTCTTCATCGAGCGGAGACCGACGGTTCGATACACGCTTGGAAAATTCGCCTTCTTGGGTAGCGTGGTGGCGATTGCTCTCACCGGTTTCCATATACACCGTTATTGCTTGCTCCGTAGGAGCTCTTCTCACGACAAATTATGGCTTAGTCTGGTCTCCGTTCAGCTCGCAAGCGCCTTTCTCCGAGGAATGTGCAGCATTCTGCTCCCGCGTCGCCCAGATGTGTTCCACGAGGGATCTTTAGTCGACGGGGAACTCACAGTGACCGCGTTAAGCCGCTTGTCATTCTCTTGGGCGACTGGCCTACTCAACCACACGGCCAAGAACCGCATGCTGGCTCTCACCGATTTACCCAAACTCCGATCTGAGACACGTGCAGACAGTCTCCACCGAAACCTTGAACGAGCTAAGCACTCTCGCAAGACGTGGAAGGCTATCGTCGTGGCGCATTGGACAGCGATCATCTCGACAATCATGCTCACATTGGTAGTTAGTGTGTTAAGCATCGGACCGCAGATAGCGCTATTCAACATCCTAGGTGCACTTGAAAATCGTGGAAGAGGCGACTGGGACGTTATGCGAGCGGCATCCTGGGTCATGGGCCTAGGAGCACTGATGCTGCTATATTCAGTGGTTGAGGCATGGCTCCTATGGGTGGTAACTTCCAGGCTGTTGGTCCCTATCTATGCTGAGCTTTCAGCCCTCGTCTTTGCCAAGTCGATGCGCCGAAAGGATGTCAAGCACATTCACAAGTCCAAGGTTAGTGTCGATTCCGAAGATTCGGCACAGGGCCATTCTGTCGCCAAGGAAGATGAAGAGTCAGACGACGAAGCCTCAGTCAAGAAGACACGACAAAGTATCATCAATCTTGCAGCCGTGGACGGCAGACGTATCACCCAATTTACTACTTTCGCTTATCTTCTTCCTTCCTCTATCTTCAAGCTTGTTCTCGGGTGCGGCTTTTTGATCAAGATCCTTGGCTGGCGCAGTGCTTTGTCCGGTATCGCAGTTTCTGTCTTGATCACTCCTCTGAACTCCTTCGCAGCAAAACGGTACACTGGCGCACAGGTCAAGCTAATGAAACTAAGAGATCAGAAGCTGGCCATTGTGACGGAAGTACTTCAGGGCATTCGCCAGGTCAAGTTCTCGGGCTTGGAAGGACAGTGGGAGAACCGTATCCAGGAGGCACGAGAGAAAGAGCTACACGCCTTGTGGACATCCTTTCTTTTCGATGTCATTCTAATGGCAATTTGGGTGCTGGGCCCGATCGGCCTCTCGGCCATCTCACTGACTGTGTATGCGACGCTCCACGGTGGGCTTTCTGCTTCAGTTGCGTTCACCGCAATGTCTGTCTTTAGTTCGCTCGAACTCTCCCTTGCTATCTTACCGGAGATCATCTCCAATGGGCTGGAGGCTAAAGTCAGTGCAGACCGAATTGATACCTATATGGCTTCCCCTGAACGAGTGATCAACACTACCCCTGCCGACGAAATTAGCTTCGAGGACGCATCAGTGGCATGGCCGATCGAGCAGGAACCGGGAACTGAAGCGGAAGATGATCGCTTTGTACTACGCGATCTTAATATTCACTTTCCGAAACAGGGCCTCAGTATTATATCCGGTCGTACGGGCTCCGGCAAGAGTCTGCTTCTGTCTTCGATCCTCGGTGAAAGCGACTTGATTAAAGGTACTGTGAGAGTGCCAGTTCCACCTAAAGTGGAAGATCGATTCGATCATTCCGCAACTAATGCCAATTGGATCCTTGATTCGGCCATTGCATATGTTGCCCAGATTCCTTGGATCGAGAACGCTACGATCAAAGATAATATTCTGTTCGGGCTTCCTTGTGACCAAGAGCGATATTCACAGACTATCTCGGCCTGCGCTTTGAATAAGGACTTGGAAATGTTACCGGATGGTGATATGACCGATATTGGAGCCAATGGTGTTAATTTGAGTGGTGGCCAGCGGTGGCGTATCTCCTTCGCACGCGCCTTGTATTCTCGCGCGGGAATCCTTATTTTGGATGATATTTTCAGCGCCTTAGATGCCCATACGGGGCGTCATGTCTACGACCACGCATTGACGGGCGAGCTTGGGTATGAGCGAACGCGAATTTTGGTCACGCATCATGTTGCGTTGTGCCTGCCTCAGGCGGACTACTGGGTTGAGTTAGAAGACGGACGGATTAGACATGCCGGCCCTGTCGCGCAGGCAGAGAGGCCAAATCAACCACAAGCCCCTCTTTTTGGGACGACAGGCGATGATGATACCACGGTCATGGACGAAGAAACGGTCGAAGAGGTGATATCACATACCCCCCACCGGCGTTTGAATACGTCTCCCGGCGAAGCAGTCATGAAGACGACTTCACCTAAGAAGTTTGTCGAGGATGAGAAACGGGAGATTGGCTCAGTCCAGCTTTCGGTTTACACAACCTATATCTCTATGGGTGGACATGGACTTCGATGGTATATGACGGTTATCGCATTTCTGGGTTACACCTCACTTATGGTCGGAAGGGTAAGTCCAATCAAACTCCCTTTTGCAACATAATGATTTAGCACATTGCAGACTGACGATTGTCGGAACGTACAAGGCGTGGTGGATAAACATTTGGACCGACTCATCATCGAAGACTCCTGCCAGTTTCGAGCAGCACAGCCTTTTTCTCCTGCAACGACCCATAGCACAAATGGACTCAAGCGCACCGGAGTCCGAGCTCAGCATGTACTTATCAGTCTACATAGCATTCAGCATACTTGCGTGCATTATGGGTACCGTTCGGTTCTATCTCATTCTCTCTACCAGTGTTCGCGCTGCCAGAAATCTTTTCAATCGCCTGACGTATGCTGTCCTGCGGGCTCCATTGCGATGGCTTGATACTGTGCCTCTGGGTCGAATCCTCAATCGATTTACTTCCGACTTCAATTCGATTGATTCAACTATCGGCTACCAGCTCGGCTTCACGGCCTCGCAAATGCTCAATGTCTGTGGCATTGTGCTCGCGGGCGTCCTCGTCTCACCTTTTGTAATCATTCTCGCTTTTGTCCTCCTGACCGTCTGCCTTGGCTTGGCCTTGAAGTATTTAGCCGGAGCGCGAGAGGTCAAACGCTTGGAGAGTACCGCAAAAAGCCCAATATTCGAGCATTTTGGTTCAAGTCTCGCGGGGCTGGTCACTATCCGAGCATTTAGCAAAAGCGATGCATACACGAGCATGATCTACAACAGAATCAACGCCCATGCGCAAGCCTGGTGGGCGATGCTATTGTTTAACCGCTGGCTTAGCTTTCGCATGAACCTGGTTGGGGCTCTCTTTGCGACATTGACTGCAGCAGTTATTCTTAGCTTGCCAAACATCTCAGCTTCGCTGGCTGGATTTGCACTTAGCTTCTCTCTGCTATTCAACAGTGCCATCGCGATGGCCTTGCGGAACTACACAGACGTCGAACTCAGTATGAATGCGACAGAGCGGGTGATTGAATACTCGAACATCGAACTCGAGAATCAGGGCGGAGTTAATCCCCCTGCGTCGTGGCCCACGGAAGGTCGCTTAGAGGTGCAGGATCTAGTGGTGGGATACGCACCTGATCTGCCCCCAGTTCTCAAGGGACTTAGCTTCAATGTTGAGAAGAATCAAAGGGTTGGCGTCGTCGGCCGTACTGGTGCTGGCAAGTCGTCTTTAACCCTGGCACTTTTTCGAATCCTGGAGGCACGCGAGGGCCAGGTCCTGATCGACGGGCTTGATATCGCTAAGCTTACCCTTCACAGCTTGCGTAGCCGACTAGCCATCATCCCACAAGACCCAGTTCTATTTTCAGGCACTGTGCGCTTCAATCTTGATCCTTTCGAGGAGTATACTGATGCGGAACTATACGACGCACTGGGGCGGGTCCATCTTATCTCCGAGGCAAACAATGAGGCCATTTTGGCTGACGGAGCCCCGACCTCTACCCAGCGGAAAAACACAAATATCTTTACCTCTTTGAATGCTCCTATTTCTGAAGGCGGGCTGAACCTCTCTCAAGGTCAACGTCAACTCCTTTGCCTCGCTCGCGCGATAGTCTCACGCCCGAAAATCATGTTTCTAGACGAAGCAACTTCGGCGGTAGACATGGAGACAGACGCTTTGATCCAGCGGTCGATCCGTGCGGAGTTTGGTCGCAATAATACCACACTGCTAGTGATTGCCCATCGACTGAGTACCATCGCGGATTTCGATCGCATTTTGGTGATGGATGACGGACGAGCAGTGGAGTTTGGAGCACCGAGTGAGCTACTAGGCATCAAGGACGGGGTGTTCCGGAGCTTGGTCGAAAATAGTGGAGAGAGGGAATTATTGGAGAAGGTTATCTTAGGGGACAGTTGAGCTGTACAGTTAGAACTAAGACCCTACGAAGCCTATAATACGGATTTATTCTGCTTACTTCAGTTTTCAAAGAGGCTCAGCTCAATAAAAAGTCTACTATACTATTTACCAGAGAGATATCTTTCTGTGCCTAGACATGACAATTGAGCGGGTCAGGTGAGTTTTAGATAGTTATATTATAAATTATTTAAGCTTTGAGTTTCAGTTAATTATTTAACTTACTTTAAAATTTATTTTTAGTTAATTAAATTTACTGTTTAGGTTCTGCTAAGTTTCTAAAATATATGGAAGCTGTTCAGATTAATTAATATAATAAATTTGGTGCTATTATACAAGACTTTAAGTATAAGAAAAGAAAGAGAAAGGAGCATCAGGATTTTTATTATTTAAAATAATATATTATTAAAAATATATAAATAAAATAAACATAGTTAGAGTAGCTTAATCTAATTTAGAGTGGCTAACAGCCAGGTCAGGTCAGGTTAATTAAAATTCTTATACCTGACTGCAGCTTAATAGTCAGGTATAAGAAATATATATTCCTGCCCAGTTTAACTAATAGTTAACCTGCAGGTTAAATTTCCCAGTAATTAAGCCTATTCAAGAAAGCAGTAGACCCGGGCAGAATATTTCTACCTGAATCTGCCTGATTTCTGCCTGATTCAGGTAGAACAGTTAACTGCGGTTAACTGTTATACCTGCGGTTAACCTGATTTTTATACCTTAACCTAACCACTAGGTTAAGGTCAGGTTAAGGTTAAGATATAACAGTTAGGTTAAGCCACTCTAATAATAATTAGATTAAGCTATTTTAGAAATAAGTATAAATTTATAGTTTTGTATTAGTATATAAATAAAGAAAATAAAATAATAAGCTTTTAATAATATTAGAGTATTAGAAGCTAAGCTTAAAAAAACATCAAAACTATTAAAAAAAGAAAGATATAATAATAATTTTACTTTATAATAATTATAAGATTAAGTTTAGACTTTATATAATAATTTAGAACTAGTTAATTAATAATTCTTAGTAATTTACTAGCAAATAAATAATAGTAACTGTTTTATAACAAACTGTAACCTCTCGAAACTAAGATTATCAAGCCACTATACATTTCCCTGGCAGCCCGATGCAATAAATCACAATACAGTAATAAGGACAGAGCAGATGAACATGGCCACAGAAAAACGACGGAAGTATGAAAAATACACTTGGTACATGATTGTTCATCACTACAAAAACATAGATCCATGAATCACTCAGTGTGCCGTTGCATGTCATAGAGCAGCCTGCTATAGGTCTCAAACAAGATATCCCAGTTACGCGTGCGGCAATTCGGATATGTGCAGAGGATGGACGAGTCGAGTACCTCACTCGGTGCGAAATTTCTATCATGGAAGCTCTAAGACAGTATGCTAATAAACAATCCCTTCATCTCTCTCCTAGTATAGTAGTTGCCAGACGTTTCATCTTGCTGTAATCTCAACTATCATTAGACAGATGGCCCCCAATAACCAACAGCATTGCGAATAAACTGACAAATTGAAACCAGACTATTGGAATCTCTAATACGACCAGCCCTCTGTAAAGTCTTGAGAGCTGGCCCCAAACTGACAGCAGATATGGCAGATCTGATACTTTTTGCACCCTGAACCACACTAGATATCACGATTGTCTCGCGCAGTGTGAAGAGTGCAGACGTCACATACCTGGATCGATCGATTGGATTGGACATGCATATAGTATTGGGTTTGTTCGACCGGCGCATCATCCCCAATCTGCATCCCAAGACTAAGAACTAGGTCTCGCAAGTGATCGTTCCCGGTCGCCCGCATCCACCACGAGAGACTGCGCCCAAAGCTATCCCGGGGTTCCTTCGTCAGCGGATGATTCCCCAGAATCCTTCGGACGAGGTGCCCACAGCCGCGCTGCACCACCACAAACAGGCTGCTGAGGCCAAACCGATCCTGGCGATGCACATCGCTGCCACGGACCCGAAGTTGCTCGAGCATCTGCTCAAAGCCTTCAACAGCTGCGTAAAACAGGGGCGTGCGGCCCAGTTGATCCACACTGTCGCAACCGATGCCAAGGGTATGCAACAGCCGTGTAAATGCCGCTCGATAGCCGTTAGCGATCGACCAGGAGAGCGCATTTCGGCCGTAGCGGCCATCGACGCCCTGCAGTGAGACCCCGTGCTGGATCAAGACCTTGATCACCTCCTCTTTGCCCGTAAATGCCGCGTAGCACAGAAGAGGCAGCTGGAGGACGCTCTGGACGACCTGGCTGCCGGGATAGTCGAGCAATAGCCGCACCATTTCCGGGGGCCCGTGAGCGATGGCCACCCCAACGGTCGTCAGCCCCTGCACAGGTAGACCAAGACCCTCGGTCTGACGCCGGACGAGTAGATCCGGCTTGCGGGTCAGGAGCAGCTCCATGATTCGCAGCCGTAAGGCGAGCATCCCCGCGTCGTCATTGCTGCGCCCAGCGATGCTGAATAGACGGTCGGTGGGCATGATGGCGTGATCGAAAGGCATCATCCTGTGGTGATCCAGCGTGTCGACTTCGGCCTGATGCTCGGGCAGCAGCTTCACCATCCTCAAATTGCCGTGCACCGCGGCATGAGAGAGGGCAGCCTGGCCGTGAGCATCCTGGACGTTGGGGTCCGCCCCATATTCGAGCAGAATCGCCAGGTCCTCGTAGCGCTCGCGAAACGCAGCGGCCAGCAGCGCAGTGCGGCTATTCAGATCCGCTCGAGCTTCTATGTCAGCGCCTTCTTGAATCAGCCGCTTCAAGATGGTCGCCCATGCATCGTGGCCGTCCCCTTCGGACCGGGTATCCACGAGCAGTAGCAACGGGGTTTAGCTGTTGTTATCCCGCGCATTGACATTCGGCCTAAATTTCTGGAGAAGAAGCTCCACGACGGCGACTTGGCACTATCGCGCGGCCAGTGCCAGCGGTGTATGGCCATCGCTATTGACGACCTCGAGATCGGCTCCGTGCTGCAGCAGAAGCTCGATGATCTCCACCCGCGCATCAGAAAACGCGACCCAATGGAGTGGCGCGCACTTAAAAGCATTGGTATCCGTCTTGTTCACATCCTCGCCGTGCTTCAACAACATCCGCACCACTGCAGCGTGGCCTGCCTCCGCGGCACAGGACAGAGGGGTGCGTCCGGCTACCAGGTCCAAGGTCTTCGTGCGAGCGGGTTCATACGCAGGCACGAGCCTATCGAACGCGTCCTAGTAATCCAGCGCCGCGCAGAGTTGCCCCAAGATGCCACTGCCAGAGACGATCGCGTCGAAACTGGCTCTCAATTCTAGAAGCCCCTGCACGACACTTTCCTGGCCCAGGAGAGAGGCGATTGCGAGAGCAGTGCGGCCTGTTTTGTCGTCGCAGTCGCTCTTAAGTCGGCCGCTTCTGGATCCAAATACAGTGATCTTTTTCGGCCCGAGGTGGTTGGTCTCGGTCATCTCGGGAGACGACATGGCGATGCGGATGAGTGCAATGAAGAAGGAGAAAAGTTGATAAAAGAATTGAGGTCGGAAATTGCTTGCTGTATAACTCTGGTTCGACACGGTAAAATCGTCTTGTATTGTTTAGCTGCTTCAGCTCTATATAGATGGGCCCGGGACGCAAGGGGCAGCTTGGTTCTTAGGCTACAGCCCCCGGGGTGCCTGTTCTGTGGTACATTAACTGAGAGCTTCTTTGCCTAAGGAGCATTACAGCCATTGCTGCCTAGGAAGGAGCAGGCTTATAGGCCACGGTCATAGGGCTGGGGAGTTACGATTCATGGCCTGATTTTTTAAATAGTTAAAGATCACGAAATTGTCTCTGACCTTGGGGATAATTGGCTTTGAGGAACCGGGCAGAGTGAAGAGAATGGATCTTGGTTTCTCTGGGGCGAGAGCCTTATTTCACCAATTGTGACCTGAAATGAAATCTGATGGCTCCATTCATTGAGCAATCGACAAGGACACAGCATTGTGGTTCCAACCAGAGTATTCGATCTGATATGCGTGTACTGTAATAGTATTGACGGCACTTTCCTCGATCGAGCACCATGATACATGATAAAAAAGTGCAATGGTATACAAAGAAAATTAGTTTGTCCCTAGGAGGGCAGTCTATCCTATTTGATCTTCGTCATTCTCATTCAAATTTATCGACTAAAGCTTTCCGCCCCCCGTCCGAAATCACGTTACAGGCGAGTTACCCGGAATGATCTCAATCCCCTCGCACGATGACCAAGATGTCCAGAAGTCTGTTCAAGGTCTAGTTCCCATCTACTGTTTCCGAGGAAGAGTGGGACGGATCCCACGGGATCTCTGATAGATTCGAGACCGAACGGGTGCGATGGGCGACAGAAAGAGGGCTGCGACCAGAGCCCGAGTAAAGCCGCTGGTGCGCAGGTTGAAACCTTCACTACCGCGGTATATTCAAGAAACGTTCGAGGAGGACCCGGAGTGGTAGACAGCAGTTCTATACTCATATACATGTTATCTGAGGAACACGGGGTACGAGTCGCGGTTGAGCGAGTTCTGGGCGTGCGTGGCCCCGGAGCCGTTAATGATTGGAGGTTCGCAAAGGACGTCGTGTGCGAGATCTTGATACAGCTGCGGATTGACAGATCTTCAACGCGTACTTTGAGATTCGGGATATTGAAGAAGCATGTTAAGCTCGTTCTGGCGTATTGGGCAATGTCTATCCCGCCACGCCCGGATAGCAATAGCCCTTTAGCTATTCCACCGCGGAACGAGAACTCCTCGGCCTCCATCTCCAGCTTGGATCTCATCAACAAGGTCATCAGCCTTCGGTCTAGAGATCTGAGCGTGGACAACCCCTAGGCCACAGGTGAGGAGCTTGGAAAGGATATTGAATCCTGAGTACAGCGTGTGAGGACTCCTGACATGATGAAAACGAAGTGCCTGGGATTTCGGATCGGTTCAGTGAGATTCCATTTCGAGGCCGTGGATTTTGAAGTTAATAGGCATTGTGGATAAGAACAAGATGGATGTAGGCGATTAGTGTCAGTGTGCAGCCCCAAACTTCTAAGGATGATAGAATTGGTATCAGATACGCATAATTGATAATTTCTCTGGCAAAGGCTAAGATGATTAATGTGTTTGGGTCAAATTCACAGAGTCAAGAAAAGACCACAGGCGTATATAGCGAGTGATACCTCCCTCCCGACCGCAGTCATGCAGTAAAGATACTGCCATATCCAACGGGGAAGGATATCCAACCCCGACCGATCAGCCTTGTTGCTTTCTTCGAACCCCGCGACCAGCCTCCCCGTCAGCCTCGATCTCAACGAGCCAATCCAGATACTCCGGTTGCGGCCCCAGGGGTTCCGGGCGGCACCACCACAATCGCCATTTTGTGGGTAGGCTTTGTAGGGAAAAAGTAACCAGGACGCGTGTTTCGCTTCCTTCCAGCCTTGCATGGTCATGATTATCATGATGGGGATGGAAGGGTTGAAGGATGGCCGATCCTCGCCGCGCGTAGCACCGAATTCTCTTCCTAAGTAGCGGTGTCTACCTCTAGGTTAGGGTTTTTGAGCGAGCGGGTGGCCCTCCTTGTCACAGTAAACCTGCTCCTTCACACCATCCATCTTCTCTGGCTCGTGGAGGTCATCCCCTATCGAGATATGGGCATGCACCGAGCTATGGAGTCAAGGTCGCTGATTCTTGCGCAATTGATAACTGTAGTTGTACATCTTGGTAACAGTTAGTTGTTGTTGTTCTTTTTACTTTGTTTGCCTTCTTTGCCAGTAACCGGGTTAACCTTAATTGGCAGACAAGAATAGATTCTGAGACGTTATATAACCTTGCTCTTGTTAGCGAATTTCTCCGAACTAAGCGGAGATATTTGCGGTGGTTTGCTGCTGCACTGTGTTGTAATTTGACCATGGTGCCTATTCAAGCATGGACGATGATTCCCAACAGAACGCATCAAGGATCTACTTATTGGCTGTGTATGGCTCAAGAAAGACAAGCAGAGATTAAGAAAACAGAACTTATAAAGTAACAACTACTTTAGAGATTACAGCATTACTTGTTTATATGATTATAAGATGAACTGTATAATTAATGCCCTGCGACACCACTGGAGAAGGGTTAAGTAGACGGCAGATGTCATCCGACCCGCACCACATAGGCGACTTGAATGGGAAGAGGGTAAGGTAGTATGGATTAAGGATCTTCCCTGGATTGGGAATACTGATACAAGTCATAAAAACAAAAACATACAACAGAAGGGATTCGCTGGTGGTCACCCACCCAACTACTAACCTCCCGGCGTGTGGCTTAAGTACGGCTGAGCGGACGGGAAGCCCTGTTTTCCACACCCTGTGGTCGTATGTACTAGATGTTAGAGTACTGCTTATCATATTGCGTTACAACAAATGTTGCTTAGTAGCTTTGGCCACAATTCCCAGCCGTGAGACACTATTACATCCCGGAGTCTCTACTTCTACCATGCTCTCTTTCTAGGAGTCAGAGCCTCTTTGGTTCATATCATACTTTTCTTCTGATTACCCTAAAGTGGCATCTAATCCCTCATGTCGAGTCAGACTATCGCAATCGTCCTCAGTGATCGGTATTCTACCGACAGATTAACACTGTTGTGTCACGACAGCATCATGACCTCGCTTTCTTTTCCAGCAGCCAAGACGGGGAGCAGCTCTCTGAGGTGTAGTCTCTACATGTGCTACAACAGCTTGCCCGCCGGGGGCAATTCCGCCAGCAGATTTTCTACCAGCTGGGACTGTCAACACCCACTGATCGCTCAGGCTCCTGCGATAACAGTTATAATCACAGTAGGCAGTGAAAGTTACTCAACAGACTTACTTGTTGCGTTCGATACACCACCACTAGTGAAGCTTTTACCCTCTTAACAGAAATAAAGAACAGTAGTCAAGCCACATCCATTACTTACAAATATAGAACCCCGTCGTAAGAACGAAAGTTCGTTCCCCCGATTAGAACAGTCCGCTTAGTCCTAGTCGGTGTTCAGGATTATCTTTGAATTACTACATATTTAAAAAGAGTGATCATCGCTTCCTGTTTCTTGGAGGAATATATAGTAATTACACCTTCTCGCTATTCCAGCTTCAAGTCTCCCAGTCAGCACTTCTGAGCATGATCCACTCTCTTCCAGGAACTTCTTCTAGGTCTCCGGGAATGTTAGAAAAATCTTACTTCCTTCCATAGTCTACGCCTCGTCATTATTGGAACATCCTTCTCCCCTTCGTTTCTTCTTACCCTCTCCGTTTCTTCGCAGCAGTATTCTCTTTCTTCTCTTTTCTACTCTATGTGTTGTGAAGCAGCTTCCTAGGACTCCACCTGTTCGAAACCTTTCTTCTGTCTGTGCCCCCCGAGGATATGGTAAGACTAGTAGAACTCTTGGTATCTACTGAGAATGAATTTCCCTCTTAAAGTCTCTATGTCCGACTACAGCACGATAGACGAATAACCCATTCTGCATCTTATTGATGAGGTCCTCTTCGATGGTGGACAGCAAAATTATGATGTTTTGTGCTGCCAGACAACCAGCTGCAAACCGCACAGCTTGAAGGACGGCTGCCGTGGGAGTTTGTGACCAGCAAGCCGACCAACACCTCTAACTCTACCATAAGTATTCTGTGGCTCGGATGGTCTACAGCTTTGTCCTTTACTGATGTACCCTTAAAGCTGTAGCTTACAAAAAATATATTCATCCTGCAGTCAGCCGTATCTGGTAAATAGTGTTAGTATAATAAAGATAAAAGAGGACTACGTAGGCGGTATTCTATGTTAAGTCAGTTACACAAGTTCTCTGCACAAAAGAACATAAAGTAAATGTTTTTAAGATATACCTGATCGTGGTAGGATCCTAGTAGATGGAGAGGAGAACTTCTGACACCTGTTTTCAAGCTTGTCTCTGAACTATATAGCCAAATCATTTCACGCATGAAAAATCCTTGTTATTGAGTCTGTGATTTATGAATTGCGGGAATAATAAGCGTAGGATTGCAGCATCGGGGCGGCCGCCACATCCCACCTTGGAGGATGGTATACAACAAGTAAAAATTACTGATATTACCTCAATGGGATCTAAGGAGAGCTACCTAGATTTGTTCCTAGGCTATGTTTTCCTGGAACTAGATATAGACCATTACTGCATGATGCCGTCATTTACCGCGGGGTGGCGAAGACGGACCTTTAGGCTCCCAGTGAGACTTAGACCAGGAAAATGACCCCAACTCCTCCACTTCGAGCACGCAGACACCAGCCAAAATAGACTACACTGCAACAACAGATGATGTCCATCTACACCACAATTGCAACCAGCAAGGAGCGGCACGGCGAAATCCAGACCGCCCTCGCCGCCGTTGAGAGCAGCCCGGAAACGCTACAGTCGCACAAATCCTACCTGTCGGACCTCCGCCGCGCGCTGGCTGAGACCAACCAGCAGCTGGAACAACTCCGGCAGATCACCCAGGTGGAGCGTGCGCTGCACGAGAAGTACCGCGACAGCACGGTGCGTCGCCTGCTTTACCGCGCGACGGGCAAGCGGGGGGATTTCGAGGCCAAGGCCGACCAGGAGATGCGCGACTATTACGCCGCGCTGGCGAAGGAGAATCGCGCGCAGGCGCAGCGGGAGATGCTCGAGGCACAGCTTGTGGATGCGGTGACGAAAGAGCACGAACTCCAAGCCGCATGTGCGGCGAGGGGCAGGCTGCATGAGGAGCTCGACGCCATCTATCGCACGATTTTCGAGGGGCGGACGGAAGATTTCCCGGAGGAGGATGCGCAGGAAGAGGTCACTCTGTTGGCACGGCGGGAGTATGGGCAGCGGAGGCAGCGTTGGAGTGATGTCCGCCAGGCGGCGCAGTGTCTGGCGAGAGCGCAGCTAACGATGCGGGAGGCCATGTTCCATCTGGTCGAGAGTCTGCGTCAGTCGGAGAGGGATCTGTGGGGATTCGGAGGAACTTTGATCGACTGGCGGCAAAAGAACTGTCTGTCCCGCGCACAGCAGAAGGTGAGCCAGACGCAGATGCTGGTGGCACAGGCGACGCGGCTGGACTCGAACGTGCAGTCACTCCCGGCCATGGGTTTGGTTCAACGAGACTGGGTTGGGGGAATGCTCTGCGATACTTTCTTATTCCACCTCAACTTCTTAGATCTGATGCAACAATCTGTCCTGGAGTTGAACCGCGCGGAGGAGGCTCTGGCAGCCGAAGTACGGCGGATTCAGTCTCGTGAGACAGGCATGCAGGCGCAGGTGGAAGAGGCGCGAGTGACCTTCGAAACTGCACAGCAAGGCCTTCGCCAGATCCGATACGAGGTATTCATGAAAGCCGCCGACCCCCCGCCGCCCTACACCGATCAACCGTCAGTGGGAATCAACGCTTGACGGGAATCGACGTTCAAGGCTTTTTGGTGGCTTTGCTGGCGGGGCAAGAGGTGATGTAATTCCAGACGGACTTAATACTTTGATGATTATGTGCTCCTACCGGGTTAGAAATAAAGATAACAGGCAGGTCAGGGAAAAGTGTATCATCGAGTGCTGTGAGCGTGGCGGCAGAAGAGTCGTTTAATCTGCCTCCATTAAAAAGTAAGGCAAAGAGGGCCATTTTCAGTCCATTTCTTCCCTCATGCAACTTTCTGGCCACTTCCGCCTTCATTTGAAGATATCATGGACCTCATGATAGGGCGTGGATTTACCTGAAATCATATAGCTACTACTGTTGAAAGACAGTTTCTCCGAGAGCCTTTTTATCCTCCATATCTTTCTTTCTTTGTAAAAGGTCTGTATACAGTGCTTAACTATTTTTACTGATAGATCTTTGACTATACCAGCCTCTTCTTCTACTTTTCAGGTCTTAATCCAGCTAACTGAACCCATATTATAATGAAGTAGCATGCGTAGAATAAATACCTAATAGAGAAGAATTCAGAAAGTCTATATTTATATACCTAATCTCTGTCTTAGGGCAGTCCTCTGCTTATTAGCTTAGTTTAATTAATTACTTGTATAAAAGGACTGGTAAAAGGGCTGGAAGAAGTAAAGCTATAATTTAGAATATTAGATTATACTCTGTATTCTCTACTATAAAGAAGAATCTGTTAGATATTTTAATATATTATAATAAAGAGTTTATCTTTTTTAGGAGATAATTTATAAAAGAATCCTTATCTTTATAAAATATTAATTATTATAATATTTTTCTTGATATTAGTTTACCAGATTAATATATATTATATTATTAAAATATTTAATTAAATATTTGCTTTGCTTATCTTACTAATTATAATTTGATTTATTTAGATATATAAGTAAATAGATTTTAATATTTTAATCTAATTACCAGGTTATAATACACCCAAGGTAAGATTAAGATTAAGGTATATTTATTAGGTTAAGCTACTTTATTTACTATAATATACTTTATAAGTAGATTAGCTACTTAAGTAGACTAGCTATCTGTATTAGTCAGATTAAAAGATATAAGTTAGTTAATTTATATACTAATATTTAATCTAGTTATAATAACTACTTTATACTATTATATAAAGAATCTTGATAGCTAAGCTTAATCTTAAATATTCTAAAATTCTTAATAATTATACTATAGATCTATTCTAGGTAATATATATTATATTTCTTAATACCTTTACTTATCTGGAATATAAAATAAAGAAAGAATAAAATCCTATACTAATAAGAATCCTGAAAATAGGAAAGAAAGAGAAAGGAAAATCTAGAGAACTATTCTCCTAATTATATATATATATCTACAGAATACCTAAAATATCCAGCTTCTGTTATATAGATCTTATTAGTCTAGAAGCCTAATATAGAACTTATATCTAAAATTATAGTTTTTTATATATAAAAATAGATATATTCTAAATCAAGATATTATTTTTTATTAAGTCAAGATTTTAACTAGATAGGCTGCTTTTTTTATTAAGATAACTAGACTAAAACTACAGCTAGTTTATATAAAAAAAGATTAAGACTAGTATACTTAGATATCCAGTTATTTATAAATAATATTATTCTACTTTATATTAACCAGCTCTCCGAGGTAGATTCTTTTTCTAAAGAAAATATCTAGATATTTTATATCTAGTATAAGTATAGGACAGATTACAGGCCTTTATATAATTAAATTATATTTCTTAAGCAAGATATTAAATCACAGGTAGCCGTGAATAATATCTATTCTACTAAAAAAAGTTATCAAGAGTTATATATCTAGGTATCTATAACTCTTCTTAGTATACTTTTATCTAGCTAATATTCTTTTCTGTATATTTTTCCAATAGTTTCTTTTCTAGACTAGATTTCCTGTATTTTACTAATTCTTCCTTATCTAACTTCTCCAGTTTCTATTTAATATTAACTAAATAAATAATTCCTCTGTATATATTATTATCTAGTATACTTAGGATTAAATCTAAGACTTCTTGGTTTATTATAATAAAAAAGTAGTATCTGCTATTTTTTAAACACTATAAGTAACTGGGATTAATTTCTTATTTCTCTTTTACTATAGTTATAGCTTACTTATTAAATTTATTATATAGCAAGACTACTATTATATTCTTAAAAAATTAATCTTCTAAGACTATTAGAGTAAATCTAGTAAGAAGATCTAAACCGTTATAATATTAAAGATATTTTTTGATATATTTATAAAACTAGATTATTAATTTCTCCTAGTCAGAGTTACTTTAATATATACATTAATAGATAATAAAACCCTATATTTTAAAACTATCTTTATCCAGAAGTCTCTCCAGCTTATTAGTATCATTTATCCTGTTCTTAATCTTAGGAATATATTTAGAGGGGTCCTGTTATAAAATTATTTATATTAAGAATAGGGTAGACAGGATAAAAGATAGTATAATATATATAAAGCAGATCTAGGGAGTAGAAAGGTAAATAAGATAATATAAACTAAGAAAGCTGGATTTATTATTAAAGTATAGATAATAGAGAATACTTCTTATAATTATAAATACAAAATATCCGGGTTGATAGTTATATTACTGGGTAATAAAAAAGCAGAAAGAGTTATTAGAGAAAAGTAGATAAATAAGCTAAAGACTATACTATAATAATAGGAGGTTTAATTATATTTAAATCTTTTATTAAGCCTAGCTATCTATTTTAGAAGGGTTATATAAAAAGAAAAGATTAGTTAAATATAGAATTAAAGTACTGGTATTATATAAATATAGATTAATTCTTATCTTTTTAGTATATAATAAGATCTGGATATTTAAAATATAAATTCTATTAAATTAGTTATATTATATTAGGGTTTATATTTATCAGAAAAGGTAATAAAAGAATAAGAGATACTAAAAATAAGAGTAGTATATTAGATAAGTAATATTTTTATTCTTAGGACTCTTCAGCTTCTTAGAAAAAGTAAAGACTATTTATACTATAGATTAGAGTATTATCTAAAGTAATATCTCTGGCTACTGGAATAAGGGAATATTAATTTAATATAAGTATAAAACTGATTTTTCAGAGAGTTATACATGTAAATACTAAAGTACCTAATTAATAGCTCTGCTAATAAAATAGATTCGGAAGGTTATACAGCTAAAAACTAATATCTTATAATCCTAATCTAAAGGGGTTATCCTATTAAAGATTAAATAAGATTAGAGTAGGACTTTTTATTTTATTTTAATTAGCTATCTGTCCCAACAAGAAAGATTTAATAAGATTAATTTTATATATAAAGTAGTATTAGCTAAAGAAAGAATTAAAGAATTAAAATTAAATAATTTATATAAAATTTTAAAAAATTTTTAAATCTTACTTTAGAGTATAATCTAACTATTTTTAATATTTTAGAATTAATTTAAAATTAGTAAGTTTTTTTAATAAGATAACTCTTAGCTATAATTAATCTTAGAATTTTCTTTATTAAAATATTTTTAAAATATTCAGGAGAACTCTTCTTTATAATAGATTTTAAATCTTATTTCTAATTTAAAATATTTTTAATCTAGATACTATAATAGAGAACTACTTTTTTAAAAGATTTAATATTTTTTTAATAATTATCTATAAATAATACTAATATAATATTTAGTTTAAAAAGATTATCTAGAGTAGCTTAACCTAACTATTATACCTTAACCTTAACCTAATCATAATCTAGTAGTCAGGTTAAGATATAAAAAGTAATTTAATTATATAATTAAGATTAGGTTAAGATATAATTATTATTTTAACTATTTATATTTATTAGTTAGGAAAATTAGATATAATAAATAGATTATTAACTATAGATTAATTAATAATATATATATTTTTCTTATATAAATAATATATAAAATATAATATATTTTTAATTATAGTATAATTATATTCTTTATATTTAATTTATCTATTTTATTTTATTTATTTTATTTATTCTACCTATTTCTTTTAAGAAATATATTATACTTTAAAAAAGACTTTTATAAAATTTAATATAAAAAAAATAGTATCTAATATAAAATATATGTATTAATTATTTTTTATATTATCTAGAATAATAATTATAATAATATAAAAATTATAAAAAATAAGTCTTTATCTAAGAATATATAATATTTATAAATTTAGATAAAGTTATTTTTTTTATTTTTAATAATAATTTAATTTTTAAATTATCTTTTAGACTATCTATATTTTTATTTTTATTAATATAAAGAATTAGGGTTTACATTAGGGTTTACATTTATCAGAGAAGGCGTTGAGAGAACAAAGATCACCAAAGACAAAGTAGCACTTCAGATGAGCGGTGCTTTCGTCCCTGGGACTCTTCAGCTTCGTTGGGGAAGTAGGGGGTATTTATGCCCCATCGGAGGGAAATGTCCAGTTCAGCTGCCTGTGCCCGACCGTGAGGGGTAAGGTGAAGGGGAGGGCTGAGTCGCAACCTCATTGGGGGGTATTACCAGGCCGAGGCCAGCCCTTACGTTCCGCGGGCGCGACGTCGCCGAATCAGGGTCTCCCACCCACCGCGACACGTCACCCGGAAGAGGTAAAGTTTGCAGGGGTACTGATAGGACATTTTTCCACACCTAGCCGACGATAGCCGATGGTGAGTCGGTTAGGGACGGTTATCCTCGCTCTCACGTGCCTTTTTCCAATAGGGTTACATTAGGGTTTACATTAGGGTTTACATTAGGGTTTACATTAGGGTTTACATTAGGGTTTACATTA